GGGACATTGGGACATTCTCAGCGAAAAACTGACCATATCATATAAGGATTGTGCAGCCCGATGAGAATCACTGCTGATGATTACTGCCAGACATGTGTTCCTACAATTTTTCCCACACCTAGAATGACAAACGGCAGAAATCACCAGCTGCACCCCTGCCTGAAGCGATTCCTGAGCCATAGTGAATCGTCACCTGAAAATCGGTAGATTCCCAGCTCATCGACACGTCGCGGCTGAATCTCTCACTCCAAACCCACAAGTCCGAAGAGCCTGACAGGGCGCTAGGCAATTTCAACCAGACTCGAGAACACAAAATAATCTGAAGCCCCAATGTACTGGTACAAGCACCTGACACCTGGTTCAGATTTGGGTTCCCTTTTCAAGCTACTTGACCACTTTTAGGGCGTATACCTCCCGAATCCATCACCGCTTTCGTTCCTGACTTTGACAATGCTTCGCCTAGCCTGTGTCAAAGACCAAGCGGACCTCTTGAGAAGGCGTTCCAATATACATCTTGCCTATGCTGCATGTGGCCAACCCCAGTGGGGTTATGCTTTGATGGCGACAGCAGCCATGCTCATCCTCTAAAATTTGAGGAGATCACTGCGAAATTTGAGAATAGTACATATCTGGATGAATTGTACGGTCTTTTAAGATTCTCGAATCTGACTTCATGGCCATGTTTGATATGTTCCGCAAGAATCCCATTCCGGTACTGTTCGATAGCTTCCCATATGAGCCATGTGGGCAAATGTATTCCATCAAAACCAATGTTTCTAGGGTGATACGGTGGATGGAAGAAATCCTGCACCAGTTGGTATATGGTTTATCCCCTTATAATCCCATTATTTACAATGTGTCATAGTTACCTACCGGTTACCAACTGGTGCAGGATTTCTTCCATCCACAGTATGTGTGATATTATAAATATATATATATATTATTATATATTATATATATATGATATATTGAGGATATTGAGGGGGAGGGATTGTTGACCATTCGTGAGGTTCTTGGAAATTTTTCACAAGTCCAGACCGAGTCACCCAAGTACTGCATGTTCCTCGGTGGTGAGTCCAGCTATGGCTGAAAAAATCATTTAATCTGAAAATAGGATATCCAAGAATTTGAGGGTTTTTTCATGGTTTATCATGGTTTATCATGGTTTATCATGGTTTATCATGGTTTATCATGGTTTATCATGGTTTATCATGGTTTATCATGGTTTATCATGGTTTATCATGGTTTATCATGGTTTATCGTGGTTTATCATGGTTTATCATGGTTTATCATGGTTTATCATGGTTTATCATGGTTTATCATGGTTTATCATGGTTTATCATGGTTTATCATGGTTTATCATGGTTTATCATGGTTTGTCATGGTTTATCATGGTTTATCATGGTTTATCATGGTTTATCATGGTTTATCATGGTTTATCATGGTTTATCATGGTTTATCAATGTCCCCTTTAAAATTGCCATTTGGGTGGGGAATTTCCCCATTTTCGGACACAGCCAGTTAACCTCAAGCAACCCTTCAGAAGGGGAAAATAATGCCGTTGCCTGTGCTGCCGAGGCTCGCAATGTTCTCCATGGGCTCTACTACAAGTTTGGCCTGACGAGGCTTGCAGCAGGAAGAAGTGTAGCCAAGATTACCATCCCGTAGTCAAACATGACAATAGAACATCTTCCATTTATAGACTATATAGATGGTTTTCCCAGCTATAACCTCCATTTATGAGGGATTCTCGATGATGTTCTTCATATTTTCCATTGAACTTCCATTCAATTTATAGATCACTTTCCCATGGGCCACCTTCCCAGCTGCCGAAGATGACTGAAAACTCAACCGCCTGGCGCCCGGGCCCCACCTTTTCATCACTCATCAGATCTACAGGGGCGCCTATTGGCAGCCAACCTCAGTGCTTGTGGATGACGACTTTCCGGAAAAACTTGGCCCAATTTGGTAGTTCTTGGACCATCTGCACCATCTCTGAAATGGACCAACATGGATCATCCTGAGGACTGTCCAAACACGACAGAGCCACTCTGAAGCGATGATGCCTGGTATTTCTCTCGGCGGGACCTGGTGCCACAGCTCAAAATAGATGTCGAAAAATGAAATGGTAAGGAACACAGCTGACCATCAGCTATCTATAACTATACATTGTATGTGTATATGTATATATATATATCCATATCTATGTCTGTATAAAATTGTACAAACATCTACATTTACATATTTATATATACATCTACATGTACATATATATATAATCAATTGTAATCATATATACATTTGCAATCATTTGCATACATACATACATACATATACGCGTATCTGAGCAGTACTTGATTCTACCTCAGGATCATTCTAGTTGCACTTCGTGTCCTTGGATTGGAGCTGTCCCGCCTTCTCTCTGCATGTTTTTCCATGGGGAGGTACCTAGTTGTGTAGCATAATTCTCACTATTTGGCAGGGTAGTTTTTCAAGATGATAAAACCAGGGTGCATGAATCCTCAGTTGATCATGTTGATCATCATTGACATTGAGCTTGACATTACTTCCTTTCTGCTCTCCCCTGTCCGATAAAAAATCCTGTCCAAGTGCGGCTGCTCCGCAGGCCTGATGTCCAGCATTACATCGGTGGCATTGACGTTTGTCACTTCCCTTCGCAGCGGTCACTGAAAAAACTCAGCCATGGTATGTCTATTGAGATCTTTTAATCACCAAGGGCTGCTTTAAACTACAAGATATTACAAGTATCATGAGTCGGTCACTAGTCTGTGGCCCAAAGAAAAAGATATATATATATACACATACAGCAATCCGAACCTCGTTTCACAAGTCGGCTCAGCGCCAAACCCCGGCGCCAGTATCAGAGGCTGGGAATTACTGGGATACTGCAGTAGCAGCAAATGTCGCAGACAAGCGTTCCGCAAATTCACCTTCCATGTTCATTGCATTGGCCAAGGGTCTGGCAAAGCTTTGACGAACTGCCCGAAGCTTCTAATCTTCCCCAACCCGTGCCTTCTCTCCAAATAGATCCGGTGGGTGGCCGTCACACTGCAAAATAGACCCAGAAGGCAAAGGGTTGCCACAGCCATGATGCCGGCAATTGGAAGATCCCAAAGGCTGGGTTTTTTTTTCAAAAAATCTATGGGACATCCAGCATCATCACCATATCCTGGTTTGGGTTTCGAGCCGGGACGTTGCTGTCGCTTCGGTCTTCATGGGACTGACCTTTTTCCATTCGCTACTCTGGTGTGACAGATCTGAGTTCATCGGCTTCACCAGTTTCCCTCTGGTAAACTAACATAGCTGTGCAAGCCATGGCCCATTTAGTTGTATGATTTACCTACTAAAATGATCTAAAATGGTGATTTTCCACTTCGCAAAGTGTAACCAATTCGCAGAGGGTAGCCTTCTCTCCTTGCCTCTATGTATTGAATATCGGGACGGACTCGCAGTCACTCCCTTGAGTAAAATGCGCCACGGAAAGAAAGGTCACTACCCACAACGGACATTTTTAGCCGGACGTGTCATCGGCGGATCGGTGATTTTAAGCATATCCATACCTAACTTCAGATCCCCTGCAAAATCTCAGAATCAGCAGTATATTGTTATAGAATGTTATATAGATAGTCAATTCTAGCAGTTTTTCACTTCTCCCCATTGAAAATTCCCATGAAATCCCCATCAAGTGCCGTGCCAACTTCCCATCAACTTCTCCCATTCGTCAAGTTCTCCCCTCCATCCAGCGGTCTTCTCCTCGAGCCAGGGCTCATCGACATCGATGGCGCCATGGCAACGTGGCGACTGATCCCAGGATGTCATGTAGGGGGTTTACGGTGGACATGGGGAGCCTCATGAGGATAAAAATATGTATATTATATATATTATATATATATATATATTATATATATATATGTAGGTAAAAATATTATGAAGTTTACCCTGAGCCTGCAAAAATTGGGATTTCATTGGGATGCAGCATTTTCAGAGCCAAATGAGCACCCAGTTCTCCCCACCTTTCATCCCCTGGGTTCGCAGATAACCCAAATTCAGGTCGGGAAGATCGGAATGGGGGAGTGAATTCATTGATTTCACCCAAACCTTTCCATAAATCTCTAGTCATCCTGGATATCACCCTTGACATCCAGGAGCTTCAGCTTGGATATTGCAGCAACATTAGGAGAGTTGTAACTCTGATCATACCTGGGATGTCACCCTGGGATGTCCATCTTTCAACCCCAGCATCCAGTGTCAATCTCTTTCCACTGTTGTTTCACAAGCAGTGGACCAAATGTGACGAGGACCACTTCAAAAGCTAAGCCCCAGTTCACGGTGGATCGCGCTCCATGGGGTGTCACTGTGGGAGCAACACAAAAAAATGCTGACCCATGGAAACACACCCCAAAGCTGTGCACGTAGCCCCTATATACATTCGGAGAATGCCTCATCTAATGTCAATGCCAAACAATGCCCAACGCATCTGTACTAGCTTGATGTGTATAAAGAGAATTAAGTTCAGTTGTCCATATCCATGTCCACGCACTTCCAGCATGCACCACACCAACCCCAAGATTTCTCGCATCCACCGCCCCACTGGGCTGCGTGAAACAGACCCCTTCATCAGCTCTCCAACTGATCCGAACTCCTGGGCATTGTGCAGATGCGGCTTAGTTAGGGTCATCGCAGAATTGGCTCCAGGGAAAATTGGAAAATTGGCTGGAAACCCCATGTGATGATAAAAATCACGGACTTCTGTACTGTAAGTCTGTCCAAATCATCATTTTCTGTAGATCCGGTGACTGTGGACATCTTGTGTCCCTTCAGTTTCCTGAAGATGAGCACAGCAGCTGAGGAATGGCCTACGAAATCCTCTTGTGTTCACATTTAAAGCAGGATATTCCTCGCCTCAATATTCGCAAATCACAAGATTTGAGCCAGCCCACCTTGACCACTCTTCCCCCTGGGACACCAGACCAGCATCGCTAAGTAGGAAGAAGACCCCGAGGCTCTTGTCCAAGCTTCCAGTAGGGTGGTTTCTCCTTGTCCGGGTAAGCATTCCTGGCCGATCACTGCGCAAAATGTCTGTGTCACAACCCAGACTTCCTGGTGGCGTCAAGCTATTGGATATTTCCAACTGTATAGTTCCAGCTATTTTCATATGGTCCAATCTTTTTCTTCACGCCCTGCCACACCAACTCATGCAGCAAATTTGAAGCATCTTGCAGCTTCCAGTCAGGATCTATAGATATATCTAGATAATATGTGTATATATATATATGTGATATATGACTATATGATATGTATAATTATGTATACATATAATGAATGATAATAACGTTCAAGCTGAATTGCTCATCCAAACTTTGAATACCCGACAATCGCAGAGTCCCCCTCTCCTATCAGCAAGGTTGGGCAGTTTATAATGCCCAGGACCAGGCTTGATGGTCGCCCTTTCACCTTGACCAAACAAACAGCGGTCGTGTCACAGCAATTCTAATTTTGGGCACCTTAAGGCGAGCATCAAAATGGCTGCTGGTTGTTGTTGAGCTTGGAAAAGGAAAAAAACAGACCCATCTCACCTTAAATGTCTGTACTCAACAACACCAGGCTGGTCATTGAGTCATGTCGATCTCTGGATATTAAAACAATCATCTTGTCAACCACCGTCGGCGCGCCTCGTGCAGGTTCCAAGGGATCCAATCGGGAATACATCGTGAACCTGGATGCCACATGATGCCACTGCCATTTGGCAACCCGGAATCCCATCCCACAGGTCCCACAGGTCCCACAGCCGCCATTTCCTGCCTGTAGGGAGTGATCTTCCCTACTCGCGTGGTCTTCTCAACATTGTACCTCAAAGGCTCACCGATGCCCAAGTGGCAGGCATTTTCCCTGCCTTTGTAACTTGAAATGTGCGTAATGTTTGGTATTCAAACGGAAATCAGCCATCACTTGTGGCATTCAAACACCGCGTAGCGTCAGACATCATCACTGCGACTAGATCTATACCCTCCGGTCATCAAACGTGGCAATAGGAAATCCCCTTGGAGGTTTGCTGGTCAAATCCCCGTCTTTGCTGCTTAGAATCCCCATGTTACTTCAAATCATCATTGTTGATGAAGAAATACCTCGTTGTTTGCACAACATGCTGATGTTCATTGGGACATTTCCTCTCTGTTCGTTGAGATGTCCTATTTCAGTCGGTGAAACTCCAAGTTCTTCAAAGGTATGATCCATCCCCTGAAGCCCGACCTTCAGTTTACTGAGGTCGCTACTCCCCAGGGACCGGGGTAGGTGCGGCCACGGGCTCACGCCAGGCCTCACGCCCCTGACAGGTATACACTGGAGCTCGACGGATCTGACCACTCTGCTTGAAGGCCTGCAGACGCGACGCGACGCACAGTGGCTGCAACTCGATGTGAACAGCTCCTCACTTCAAGGGTGTGTGTGTGTGCTTGCAAAAGTTTTGATGAGTCTGTTGTATCCATCTGTCCGAGTCCACTCAAACTCTTCGTTACCGCTTTCAACAGAATTTCATCATCAATCATCATCAATCCTGGATTGAATTCTGTGCATATCTCAAAAAGTGTGGGTTTCTCCACTCGGTTTTTTTCCTTCGTTGTTCCATGTGAAAAATCCCATCTTTTTGCAGAGGCACCTCTTGGTTGTACTGCCCCGGAGCAGGTCCATCCTCTCGGTGCTGACTGTTGGTTGAGGGGGTTACAACTCCCAATATCTTGGGGGATACCCTAGGGTAAACGTTGAGATGCGGAAAAACTGGGGTTTCCCCAGGAAGATTTCTTGAAATGCTGGTCTTTCATGGGTTTTTCCACATCTATCTTAGTTTACCTTTGGATCATCACATTGACTGGGATATCATGATGAATATCATGGGATAATCACATCATGATACCACTTGAAACCAAGGCGTCGCGCAGAGGGCAGATTTTCACCACGGCTCACAGCTCATGTCCAAAGGCGCAGCTCGGGCGGTCTTTATCAGGAAATCCTTGACCAGCAACAGAATGAATGGCCAAAAATGGGAACCTATGTACATGTATGTGTGAAAGTTATAGTTATAAAACTGTATGTATATATACATATATAACTGTATAACTGTATATTTACATATATAATCATATATACATCATACATACATATGTAAATACAGTAAATATATATGGAATAATATGGATACTGCTTTTCACATCGTCAACATCAACAGCTTGGTCCATGCTGCCGACGGTGGCGGCCTGGATTGAGCATGTTCTGAACCATCTTCCAAACCATCAAAAAAAGAACAGCTAAAGTAGCTACAGTATGTACATTTACAGTTTATATTGTATAGATATATATATATATATGATGTGTTATATAATCATAGATGATATCTTTACAAACCTCCATCTTCTGGAGCCCAAAATTCCATCCACCAGCCTCCTGCGGTCGTCTGAGGCATCCTGAGGCGTCTGAGGCATCTCAGCAGCTCCGCCAGGTTGGCACGCGCACCCAGGGCCTGTGGAGTTTCTGAAGTCATGGGGATAGCCCCAGTCATCATCCATGAAATCAACCATCAATTTCATGGAAAATGATATAGATTATATAGTTGAATTGGATGTTCCATGAAATAAACATAAATAAACCACCTAAGAATCTGGCTACCTTTTTGTTCATGGGATTGTCCATGAAAATCATGGAAATTTCCCTATCAAGCTATGGGGAAACCCCCATATGGAAACCTCATGAAAGCTCCACATCTAAAGCGTCTACCTTTTTCGGGTGGATGTAGACCTGAGTTGAAAAATGATTCGTATTTGTTGGTAGGTCTGAAAGTTCATGTTGAGCATTGCTTGGTGATGATTCTTTCAGTTTGGAACCGTCAAAATTATGAGCACCACTTGTTATCGCCAGCGGTGCTAGAATTGATTGTTCATCAAGGAAAATATCCACACCTCTGACTTATGGGTTGAGATGATGTGATACGACATGATACGGTATGATGTGATTAGCATGGCATGAGATGATACACCGCCTATTCCTCCATTCATATCATTCATTCTTTCACAAAAAGAGCGTCTCAACTGGACGTGAAACGAAATGTCTCATGCCCAAACGTTGTATGATCTGACAACCAAAATCAAATGACCCCCCCAAAAGAAATCCAGTTAATCGATCCAGAATTGTGATCCCAGCGATGATTGGCGATGCCATGATTGGCGGTCGCCTCGGTTTCAGCCCAACTGGTAGAAGTTCAGATGTGAATGGTGAATTTGATCGTCATCACGTGTACTGTTTGAATCAGTTTGAAGATCTAAACCTGCACTTTGAAATTCGTGTCTTTTCTACTCATACTAGTTTCACAATTCCGTTGTTTCTTGGTTCTTCTTCGGGGTGCCACCAATCTCACCACGCTCGAAAAAAATGTCTTCACTTCATCAAGAGCTGTAGCCTTTTGGGACGTGACCAATCATCCAATGGCCATCAAATCCGTGGTTTTGTTCCAGAATCCAAGCCCCCCAAGATTTCTCCAACGTCATTTATTCAAACGTTTGGAAAGTTTGGATTCTTGATGATTCTCGTCATTTTGCCGTAGCTGCCATGACCGGCCCATTCTGGTGGACCATTCTTGGATCAATTTGTGGAACCCACATCCCCCTTTTTCATGCCTCAGATGCCTCCTCACACGGCAACAACAGTCACCGGTGAAACCCGCATCATCTTTCTATTCTCTTTCGGTTGCCGAAAGGTGTTTCTTTTCTCGGCACACGGCCACAAAGATTCAACTGAAATCAGCTGACAGAATCGCCCAGTCGCCACGGGTGAACCAGTCCATTTTGTACCACACATAGCTGACATTAGCGCCGCCTCCTGCCACGTCCACCAATTCGAAGGTCAGCAATCAAACCACTCTCTGCGATGAGGCGACGAATCTTCGCGTTGATGGCCTGCTCCTTTCCTGGGCGCGCTTTCGAGGTAAAGCGATTTCCTTCAACTTATCTGTTGGGTTCGAAAGAATAAAGTGGCAGACAAAGAAAAAGTGGAATATGGTGAAAATGGGCAGATATCAAACAATGAATATAATGAATATAATTATAGACAAATGAAGATGGGTATACAGCAATAATTGAAGAAAAAAAGATGGGAATATCATGGAATATCTCCAAGAGCACTAAGAACACAAGAAACGACAACCACAGCAATGGTTGAACCAGGTTGAACCTTAAAACTCCAACGTTGACATCTCATGACATCTCTGAAGCACCATCCGGGTTTCCTCTCATCTCGGCCCTGAGCATCTTCCTGTCTTTGTCATCAGTGCACCTGGCTCTCCTGATGTCCAAGCTATAGGATGCTGCGTCATTTCGAATCGAATTCAATGCCTTGCAGCCGAAACAAGTGCCACAGACCAGGACCAGGCTGCCCACAAATTGCAGAGCATAAAGTCCAGTATCTTCGTTCCAAGAAGGCAGTGAAGCCAAGAAGAGCACGCCGAAAATAATTGGAGCCAAACCACTGAAGAGGAAGAAGGGGCCACTCAATACTGAAATCATTTGCAGGAAACAATTCAAACATGCCAGGCGCTTGGGATTTGTGATCAAGCCCTCTGCTGGCCCTGCCAATTTCACCTCAGGGTCTTCGTAATCCTTTGCAACTCAAGACCCTTGTTCTGTCTCACATAATCAAGAAAAGATACATTATATTCTGAAAAGTGCCTTAGATACCATGCAACACCCCTCAAGTCCATGGAACATGCTGCATTCAACCATTCAACTTGGTCCAACGATGCTTCACCATTCATCTTTCCCAACCCCGGCCTGAATGTCCATTTCATATGCACAATGGGCCTCGAAGACACACCACAATCTACTGTGGATAGGTGTATTGAGGTTGGACAACAGTAGCATTTGCTTCGGCTCGGCCTTCAAGACTTGATAAAATGGAGACGCCTCCAAGGTAAGAAGAAGGTGTCTGATAAGTTGAGGTTGGTTCTGCGGGTTGGATAAGCAGCAAAAGTATGCCGTGCTGCAACTTTGGGGCCATGACTTCATCAAGTTCTCTTCCAAATCGAAGACACCTGGCGGGAAATTTGCCATGAAAGCATGGCATTTGACCAGTTTGATGCTGAAGCAAAAAAAAAAACATCACTGGCCAAGATATGCCTTTGTCGAAACGCTTGGGTGAGGGCCCACCTTCATCCCAAGCGTGTGAGATGAACAAGTCACACCTGAGGCCAGCTGTCTTGCTGTTCTCCTTCAACGCGTAGCTCAGCCCACAGATACCATGGCTGCTGTCCGGCCCTTCAGTATATGGTCGGATGAGGCCAGAGTTCACATGGTGCATATTGGGCCCGATCCGTGAATTTGAAAATTTCCAGTCAGAATAATGCTTGAAGCCCCTCTCCTTGCAGACTTCTTGGTGTCAGCTTGCCCCGAGCAGACTCACCAAAAAGACACACTAGGAATATGGTTGGCATTCAGGGAGTTCATTCTTTGTTGAACAGTACCGTGCAAGTAAAACCGGGTAACATGAAACCACTTGAGTTCCATCTAAGCTCCATCTACCTGCTGGTTGGGGGAATCATGTTCTGGTTGTTTTCTTGCTTGATCTATACAACTAGAGCAGTATCAGTATGAAACCACTAAGATTGAAGTTGTTCCCCAAACATCCCACACATAATATCCATACTTTCGGAATCATCCCAGTCATCAGCTTCCATCGGTGTCCTTACTGGGATTCGAGATGCTCCCTTCACTAATGGATCTGCGCACCATGCCCAGGAAGTCTTTGAACTGACTTTTGCTGATCCCCCAGAAGACGGCATCCAGTTGCGTGTGAACGTACCACGCTGCCTCCCCGGGTTCACTGTCCAAAAAGCCTCCCGCAGTAGAGAAGATTTTCCTGTCAAACAACGATTTGTCGCCGTTGAAGTGCTGTCAGCACTCTTTAAAAACAGAAAACAGGCCTTTCCGTTGGTAAAGATGAATCCGCCGAAAAATTGGGAGCAGTAGAATTGGGAAGACAACCATTCTCTATTGCTTGAGTTCAGCCATTCAAGTGACCCACATGTCTTTCTTCAAAGCCAATGGCTGTCCTTCGGGCAATTTCCAAGTCATCCGTAGTCTCTGTCTCCGCTGTTTCGGCTCCATCTTCAGGGGCCACAGATGTCCCACCAACGACGCCGATGGTGATTTCAACCATCGTGGCAACTGGATAAATGTATTCGGGCCGAGATGGCCGAGTATGATATGAGTGGGGTTGTAAGGGAGAAAGTAACATCAAGGCATTCTTGCTCACGGGCAAGGATGCATACTTTGATATACTTTGGATGTGACAGATCCAAAGCTCACATCAAACAGCTGGCAAGGTCATGCCCTGGCTAAGAATCATATGGGGCAACAAAAAAACATGACCCGTCCAAGGTCATACCCATTTTTGGAGCTACCCCAACATCCCCAAATCCCCAAGGCTAAGCACGTCCAAGTTGCCGCAGCCCTCGCAGTACCAAGCCATAGGCCAGCCGTTCCGCGACCTTCCAGCGCTTTTAACGGGATACCACGGGAAGGACTTGGCATAGGGTTCTGTGCTGACAGTGGGCATTTAGAGCACCAACAAAGAATGGGAGTTGGTTTAGAACTGGAACTAGTAATTCATACTGCACTAGATCTGCATTTAACTAGAACAGTTAACCAGGACTGTAAACAGTAGCAGTAGCAGGGACATCTTCTTTCCCCGATCCGTGAACCCCCAAAGTTTTTTTTCGGTTCATACAGGACAACAATCATTCAGCATCCTCGCTTCAAGCTTTTTTCGACGTCACTAGTTAACCCTAGTTTGGGGACTCCAAAACGCATCTTTCCCGCCTGGAGGTAGCAACTCCATCACCTGTCCGGAACAAAAACTTGGCCATGCGGAGAGTCAGACGTCTTCCTTGGGCCCAACCTTCGGGGTGAACAGGATCAAAATGGAATGTGGGGAAGGTGTCTGGGCAATTCTTACTCTACTACCATCTGGTAATTTGACGTAGCTATTGAAAATGGCCATTTATAGTGGATTTTCCCATTGAAAATGGTGATTTTCCATAGTTATGTTAGTTTACCAGAGGGTACTCTATGACTCTATGATTCTTGAGAATTCTTAGAATTGACTTTGGATCCTCAAGTTTCCTGCACACACCAGCATCTCCTTGAAAAAATTGTCCTAGATTGATCATAATTTTCAAGCCACTGGAGATTGCAAAAGTCCCCATCTCCCCCAACCATCGTTGTCAATTTTTCAGTTCCATCCGAGGATTGGAAGAGGTGCCAGGTGGGACTGCGCAGCATCGCGCTGATGCAAGCGGTGAATGGATGGCATCCAGAATGGATGGATGGCAGGTTGCTTCCGGGTACACACTCCAAAATGAAGTCTGGAAACTCTGTGTAATTTTGGGGTTCCAATGTGCGTAGCTTTTCTGTTGGAAACATGAAACCTGAAGACACAGCCGGATGACCGTCCTGAACATCCTTCCAGAAGGTGGAGAGCCCCTCCTACAGCAATCCCGAAGTGGTGGGACAAACAAAATCACAAGTGATCAAAAATAGAAGCAGAGTGCACTGACAAGTCGTTTCCTATAAGATTAGAATAGTAGACTCTTCAGAAATACTTTTGGGCAAAGGAAATCTGTTTTCAGTGTCCATGGCGTTGTCCCAGACTTCTGGATTCATCGGAACCAAGCAGTCAACAAAAAACAACACATTGGATTCAGTCGATTGGGGACATCGTACCAAGCAGGATGGACAAGTCGTTCAAGATTTCGTGATCATTGCGCTGCCCGACACTTTGAAGTTGCCACCACCGCTGCACAAAGTCACGGGACCATCGATGTTGCCATAGGACAGGGCACTCAGGCCCCAGTTCACTGATCGAGGCACCTTCGCGAACCCAACAATTTCCATCAACAGCAAAAGAAGAGTTAACTGAAAAATTGGGTCAAAAGCCAGGTATTATATATGAAAAAAATAGCTGGCAAGTGGATGTTCCGGGTCCCAGGTATTATGACCCCAAAAACGCTGGATAAATCCCATCTTCTCTTGGTGAAATCCCAATTGTTTGGTGGTTAAATCCTCATCTTTGATGGTGAAATCCACAGAACTCCAAATGCAAAAGCCACACCTGGTTTTTCCTTTGCGCACAAAAAGGGCTGCATGTTCAATGCCCACAGTGAAAAGGTTACACTTCTGATTTGTGCAACTGCCGATGCAAATGTTACACTTCTGATTTGTGTAAGTGCTGATGCAAATGTCACACTTCTGATTTGTGCAACTGCCGATGCAAACGTTACACTTCTGATTTGTGCAACTGCCGATGCAAATGTTACACTTCTGATTTGTGCAAGTGCTGATGCAAATGTCACACTTCTGATTTGTGCAACTGCTGATGCAAATGTCACACTTCTGATTTGTGCAACTGCTGATGCAAGCGTTACACTTCTGATTTGTGCAACCGCTGATATGCTGGAAACATTGGTATTTCAACGCTCCCCCAGTGCCACACGTGGCACTCCTGGACTCAAGCCCCATTCGCAGACTGTGAAACCAGTCCAAGGAGATGCAAGTTCTGTCGCAACTGGCTTGTGGCTATAAATGATTTGGAAATACCCAGACTGATGCCAGGCAAATGTCATGGTTGGTCTATTGGAAACATCTTCATCTCGGCTAACGTAATGCTTGATTCGTTCTTTTCGGTGCTCTCTGATCACAATTGGATTCTCGGATGACTCAGAGCACTTCCACAGATCTGTGCCAGCTGTGCAAGGTTTCCGACACAAACCCTCCAGATGGTTTCCTTTTTGGAGCCACTCTGGAAATTCACTTTTCTTGGCCAAAATAAGACGTTCCATAGAAGAAAAATTGGTTCCTTTCCAAACCTTTTCACACGTCAAACATGGTTTCTCGGTTCTGGTAGTGGAGCTGGATGCTTGAACTCGTAGAGATTGGATTGATGGAGAGATACCGATTTCAGAAGCCTGTGATTGAACCTCCTTGACCTCAGCCTTCACACATTGAAACACCTGAAGATGCGCCACCACAGTTCCAGGGCCAACAGTAAAAGGCTCTTGGCTGGAATTCTTCAGCAAAATCTTGACCTCCTCCCCAAAATCTGGAGAAATGATTCCTTCTCCGACCTCTCCACCCTTCCTCAAGACATCCAGACAAGTGGTGAACCTTCCCTGTGTGGAACGTGGCACCCGGATCCTCAGCCCCGTCCTCACCAGCGCATGCTCACCTGGATTGACAACCTTCTCCTCGCAGGGATAGATGCACCATCCACCCTCTTTCTCCTCCGTCCTCCTCGGCAACTGGGCCTGTCCCCTGAGCCTCTCTACCTGAATGTCATCTCTTCCTCTGATCATCCTCCAACCTTCTCTCCCGATGACCTCCACCAGCTTGACAAGACACATCGCAAGACCCAGAAGTATGAGTGGAAACCAATCCCACCCTTCCTCAGACGCCTTTGAATCTACTGCTTCTGCGACTGGTAGATTGGCAAGACTTCCCAACCCAACCAATGCTGCTGCTACCTTCTCTGCCTTCTCACCATCCAGTCGTAATAACTTTCTGACTACACCTCCTTCAGCATTCTTCTCACCTGAGCCAACCAGATTCAAACCCTCCTTGAATCTTCGGAAAAGAGATGATGAAAGCTGCTTCGTAAGCCATCAGCAACCAAAAACTGACCTGGATAGTGCTGCAGCAGAAACTCCTTGTTGCGCACTGCTTCTGTGAGGGCGCTGGCTCTAAGACGCAAATGTCTCGTGCGCCAGCTGCCAGAGCTGCCATTCACAATGGAGATAGTTGAATCGCTGAAGAGTCTTTTTTCCCCTCCCTTCTCCTCCAGTTCCTCAACTAAACTGGAGACTCCTCTCGTGGCGGCAACTCCATCCATCAGTGACAGCAACTCTGCTTCTGCGGTTGAAAGCGCTATGAAGGGCTGACGAACAGTCAGCCAAAAAACTGGGCACCCTGCATAGAAAGCCGCGAAGCCGCTAGTGGATTTGTACTCCTGGGAGCCAAAAGAGGCATCGCAGTAGACCTCCACCACTTCTCTCTTTCTTTCACGCTGGTGATGTCCAGTCTTTCCATGATCGCCATCCTTCAAGGGCTGATAAAACAAACCTTCTCCTTTCGTGCTATTGAGATACTTCCGTACTTCCTCTCCAATACGGATAGTTCCCTTTGGTCTCCTCACTGCCCATTGACACATCAGAGCTACTGGAAAGGAGATCTCAGGACGGGATCGAGTTGCCACCCATAATAACTCACCCGTGACGATCTGTGCTCTTTTGACGTCACTAGGACAAGGCTCTCCCTCATCTTCGGGGACAGCTACTGTACTCATAGTGGAACTTCCTTGTGTTCCATGTCGATGGAGAAGATCTCTGATGTATGATTCTTGATGAATCAAAATTCCCTCACCTTTTCGATCAACCTCCAACCCACAAAATATCAAAGTGGAATCTTCCTCACACCAGTCAGGCTCACTGATGGTCCACTCTTGACGAACACGATCAAAAAAGGGCTTCAAAACCTCCTTCTCTCCCGTCGCCAGCAAATCGTCAATGTAGACGGCCAGATGACCCACTGTCTGATCAGCTTCACCTTGACAACACTTGATCCTCCACAAATTCTCCTCTCTAGTCTTTTGAAGCCAACATCTCTTCCCTTCTGAATGCCACTCTAGAGACTTCAGGACCACGTCACGATGGTCTGACCAATCTCGAGGAGAGGTAGTCAGACCGTAAATGTTTCCATTCACATGCCAAAGCTCTTGAGGGCTGATGACGCCGGCCTCAGCAAAGATGGCAGGGGGCTGGATGATGATGACATCCTTGTCTCTTCCAGCGGGTACTTGGAGAAAAGCAGTCTTTATATCTGTTCCTGCAATGCACCAAGAACGTTGAACCGCTGCACAAAGCACTGATCGCACCTGAGTGGCATCTATGCCACCAGCATAGGTTTCAGAAGCGGGACGATCCGCCATGAAATTCCCACAGGCGACTCCTCGACACTTCAGCTTGCCGCTAGGCGCCTTCTTGGTGAAAACAGCCTTCCCAGGCAAACGGTCATAGGGAATGCCCTTCTGTTCCGCCATACATCGCAACTCCTCAGCCTCTTGGGATGAAATGGGACGAAGAGAGCCAGTCTTGGTGAGAGAGTCATATTCCTCCTGTATGGCTCCTCTCCACCGCGTCAGATCTCTCCTGACTTCTGTTAGAGGAATGGTTTTGGTCTGCAACACTGCCTCTTCTTGTGCTGCGGCCTCTGACACGTCTTCTATCTTTTGTTCAACCTCAAGTCTCTCCAACCATCTCAGTTCATCCTCTAGGCTGAGATTTTCCTGAGTGAGCTCCAAAGCATTTTGGTAAACTACCTCCCAACCTTCCTCCATGTTACCTAAACGCTGGAACTCCCCCCTTTCCAACTCCCGACCTTCAAAAACTTCCTCCTCCAGCTGAAGCTTCCGGGCGGCTATCTCCTCTGGACTCTTCTTTCCTGAGATCCTCCTCCTTGACCTCCCCCCAGCCTCAGCAGGGTCTCTCCCTGGCTCCACCAACTCCGGCAAGGCATCATCCTCCAGAGGGGGTGGTTCAGCTCCTTGAACTAGGTCGGCTGAGTGAAAGAATTTTTCTTGATCATCCATCACGTAATAACCTTGAGAGGACGGTGACATGGTGGCATCCGGTCCCATCACTCGGACCTGTTTCCTCGACAGCCTCCACGCGTTCCCTTGATCCTCCCACCTCTTGATCTTGGCCCAACCTGAACTTCCAAACACCTTCAACGATTCCACCGGGTAGCACATAGCTTGAAGCTGCATCCGCCATCGTCGCTCTGCATAGTGCCTGGCAGCTAGGGGCCAAAACTTAACATCAAGCCCAGCACTGTCAAGAAGGGTTTTGATGCCCCTCTTGAGAACGGCAATCTCGCTCTCCACACGACCGTTCGACTTCCATCCATCCCCGTCGGTGTATGTCCTGTAGATTCCACGCTCCTCACACCAACGTCGTAACTGGGTGGACGTGAGCTCACCAGCCCGGTCTGAATGAAGACGTCGTACTGGAAGTCCAAGATATTTCAGCTTGGTGGTCATGCGGGCCACAGCTTGGACGAGGTTGGTAGCTCGTCGATTTTCGAGTGGCTCCAGAAGAGTGAGGTGTCTGATCTCAAAACCTTCCTCCTCCTCTATTTTCTTCAACCACTCCTCCTCATCATCCTTTGGTGGCTCTTCTTGGGACTCACCTTCCACACCTTTCTCCTCACCCTCCTGTTGGATAGCCTCCGCGCCTGCCTCTGCATCCTCAACCTCCGGTTCTCCACGCATCACGCTTCTCCCTTCTTTGGTGACTGGCACAGTGAAGGTGCCGGCAAGAAAGTACTTGGCTTGGGCCTGCTTGTCTGCAGCCCCCTGGTCTATTCCTTTGACGAAGGGACCGGCAAGGTCAATGGAGAGAGACAAAGCTTCACGTGAGACAATCTTTCGGTGATACCTGCCCTTTCCCGCTGAACGTAGGCAGGTCTGACATTCCTTGCGGAATGGAAGATGGTCATTCTGCAAGTGAGCCTTCCATTCAGCCAAAGACATCTTCTGCAGCCTGGGATCTCCGATCCAACTCCTCAGTGCGACAACCAGAGCCCTCTTGAGACCTGGTGCCCATGACGCCCAGGACCTGGAGGCGGTAATCCTCTCCTCAACACCAGCCCCATGAGAACCCGCAGATCGGCCTGGACCTCGCATCCCTTGAAGCTCCTCTAACCAAACCACATTGGTTCCCAACGTTGTAGGCTTCCTCCTCTCATGTCCCATTGGGCCTTGATCAAATGAGACTTCCTTCATGTTGTAAACCTGCTTGAACTGATCCCACTCCTCAAAAGCCCAGAACGATGGCACTGGCGCCTGACCATCAAGAGTTGGAGCATAGGTCTCCGGATCTTGTGGTGATTCTTTCACAAAGGCAACCTGTCGCTCTGAGGCGCCCTGAGCGAGCATGTAGAGGAACAACTGCCTCATCCATAGGTTGGTGTCCTCGTCAACTCGCCTTTGCAACCACGGCTCCAAGTGGTCAAACCCAAAACGCTCCACGCCAAACCTTGATCTCAAAGGCGGCGGCCCTGGTTGAGTGTGTCGAAGTCGACTGACACTTCGACAAGGTGGTCCTCCAAGGACAGCGACCACAGTGCCGAGTTGACACAGATATTGGAGGTATGCCATCACGGCATCCCTTCTCAGATCTTGGTCCTTGTGGATAGCCAGATCAAGGCAGAGCACTTCACGTCCAGGGGCAGCGAGCTCTTTTTCCCAAAACACGGGATCTTCACCAGAAAAGAGATGAATGACAATCTCCCTGGCACACCTCAAGCGACGTCGGATGCGCCTATTCCAAGGAAGAGTCTCTCCTTTCCAGCCTGACTTCGCTGGGATCCTTTCCAAAACCTCCTCCGGAGTGGACGGAAAAACCTCCTTCAACCTCTTCAAAAACTCCACCATCTCCTTTCCAACTAGATCCTCATGGTCAACTGCCAGCTCGTCACCTCTCAAGATGTTCAGCCGTGCCTTCTGTCGAATCATCTCCTTCTCAATCTCTTGGATCAACTCTAGACCCAACTCTTCCTCAACCGTTGGACACCCACCTTCAAGCCTGGTGTCAAGAACTCTTCCACCAGGATCAGTCAACTCAAAGCTAGTCCCCTCCCACTTAACTGCATAACCACAGTGTTCCACCAAAACTCCCAGAGGGACGATAGGCTGCACCGTATCCCGAGTCAACAAGGTGCGCGACCAGGATTTTTGGCGAAGGACTGTTGATCCTTGTGCAAGCTGCACGGTGACCTCCTTCGCATTGAGCCACTCTGCCTCACTTTTGGCCTGACGGAGGCAATGGGTTGCCCCCCCATCGAGCAACGCCCTCTGATTTCTAACCTCAAGTGAGCTGACCTGAACCTTCTTCAACGCAGATCCCCGTAGAGAACGTAAAAGTCCAGCAGCCTCCTGTACCAGTTCCTTGACTGGATCCTCCTCCTTCTTCGGCGCTCCTGCCGTCTTCTCTGTTCCTGTGGAATCCTCGACCTTGGCTTCTTTCTTGATGGAGGGTGCCAATGCCTCCTTCCCTTTTCCTTTTCCATCTTCAGATGCCTTAGGCCCACCTCCTGGCCTTTCCCCAGACACCGCCTTTATTGATTTCCCTGCATCTCCAGGCTTCCTCGCCTTCACCCCACAATCCTTCTTGGTGTGTTGAGTTGATCCGCAGTTGTAACACCTCCCAGACTTCTCAACCGCACTCCAATCATGTTTGAAAGTGCACTCAGATCCCTTCTTGCATCCTTCCTCTGAAGAAAAGTACTTGCAAGGGACCTGTTTGGTGGTTGTATTGGATGACGGGGTCGGCTTTTTCCCTTCAGGGGTGGCTCCAAGACCTGTTCCTCCAGCCTTCGGTGTTGGACTGACCTCAACAGATTTCACCTTGGCAGTGGTTTGCTGGGTCACACCATGGAACGCCGACTCTGCCTCAGCCAAGAGCACATCGGCATAGCTGGTGACACCTTGCACCGTAGGGTTCACGTCAATCTGTAAGAGGACTCTTGCAGAGCTCAACCTGAAAGAGGCCTGTGCAGATTGATGGGTCAGTGTCGTGCCCATTTTCTCCAGCGCTCCAACCAGCAAAGTTGGATCTGGGATGGCAATCTGAAGCTCCACCGCTCGGCGCAGCCACCTCTTCCACCCCCTCAGATGTTCCATCATTTCTCCAACCGTGGCAAACTGCTTGCCCTCCACTAACTGTCGTAGCAGAAGAGCTCGTTCACCAAGTCCACCAGGTTGATAACGGGTGAAGATGCGGAAAAGAACCTCAACAGTGGAAGTCGCCCGATTGGCCAACATCTCCGCTTTTAGCATTTCCGGCAAGGCAGCTAACATCATAGATTGACCTCGCTGTTCCACTCTTCCCCATGAAGGATCCTCCTCGATGGGATTCCTTGGAACCACATACAAACGCTGCAGCGGTTCCGCACGAAGCCACTCAGAGTAGGCTTCCGTAGCTGCTCTGAGCACTGCGTCCCACCACTCTCAAATCCCGCATCGTTGGGCTGATCAAAGCAATCCAATCGCCCACAACCAAAGATCCAAGTTCGCCCTCCTTGATCTCAGGGAGCTTGGTCAACTCCACTGTTCTTATAGTCTCCTGCGTGGTGGCCAAAGATCTCAGCCAAGATGGAAGACCAGTTTGATCAGCCTCCCTTCCTCCTCCATTCCCACCCCATGGACCCCCAGACAGAAGATCCACATGGGGAGCGCTCCTCGTTGGATTCAGTCCCCCAATCAACGGGGAAACAGAAGGCCCAACACATCCATTCCGTTGACCATAGATGCCATAGTGCAACTCCGGTGAAGCTGAGCTCACAGGTGGTTGAACTTCTCGCTGTATTGGAATGCCAATGGGGGCCAAGGGTGAAGTCACTCCATTCACCACAGGCGGCGTTGCAGCCAGGAGATTGATTTCAGGGTGCAAGCTCCGCTGTCTCATCAGCAAATCCAGATCTTTGGGGGCCAGGGGTGCTCCAGCAGTCACCTCAAGGCTCGCCCCTACCGGATAACCAGTCCTCCTGGGAGGGCATGGCCGCGGCTCTCCTCCAGCCACAGCCTCTACCTCAACCAGGGCCCTGGGATCGCCAGGCCGCGACTCTCCTCCAGTCACAGCCGGCGCTGCAGCCAGGAATTGAAGTTGACTTGCGGGGGCCAAGGGTGCAATACCATCAGGCACCACGAGGCTCTCCCCTACCGCAACAGCGGTCTTCCTGGGAGGGCATGGCCGCGACTCTCCTCCAGTCACAGCCTCCACCTCAACCAGGGATTGGAGTTGGTTTGTGGGGGCCAAGGGTGCAATAACTCCAGACACCACAAGGCTCTCCCCTACCGCCGGAGCGGTCTTCCTGGGAGGGCATGGCCGCGACTCTCCTCCAGTCACAGCCTCCACCTCAACCAGGGATTGGAGTTGTGCTGATGGACCCAAGGATGATGAAGTAGCAGATGTCACCGCCAGGCTCTGCTCCACCAGATCACCGGTCTTCCTAGGAGGGCACGGCCGCGACTCTCCTCCAGTCACAGCCTCCACCTCAACCAGGGCTCCAACAAAGGATGCATCGCCCGGTGCTCCTGGACCCTTTGGATTCTCCGTCAGACCCTCAAGAGCCCTAAAACGTTCTTGATGGGCTCCTTCTTGAATCTGTCGCCTTCCCTCACTCGCTGTCAACCCACCTGACCTCCCTTCCATCACACCTGAACCCTCTTCTACCTGCCTCCTCAGCCTCGCAACCTCCCGAGCAAGTTCCTGATTCTGAGACAGTATGACTCGCAAAACAGTGGCTATGTCTTGTCGATAGTTTGAAGATTCAAAAGAAGGGACCGCTCCTTGCATGAAAGAAGAAACACCCGGATTCACTCCCATACTTCCATCAGTTTCTACCATTCTCAGAGCTGACAACTGAAGAGCATCCGCTGCCCTAGCCCCCTCCACAGGAACTAGTTCTTCAGAATCAGAAGTTGGTGGCAAAAAACTTGGTCGCAGGGCTCGAAGCGCCATGTCGTCCCTGACCCTTTCACTCCAGAAAGGGTTGGCATTCTGAGGACCCCCTGGACCATATGAGACGGGCTCACCTGGTGTTCTCCTATCATCCATACCTCCATGGCTAGACACCTCTCTAGTGGTCGACATTGATGAGCTATGCGACATAGGGAGTTGGGCTCATAACCCACAGAACTCCAAATGCAAAAGCCACACCTGGTTTTTCCCTTGCGCACAAAAAGGGCTGCATGTTCAATGCCCACAGTGAAAAGGTTACACTTCTGATTTGTGCAACTGCCGATGCAAATGTTACACTTCTGATTTGTGCAAGTGCTGATGCAAATGTCACACTTCTGATTTGTGCAACTGCCGATGCAAACGTTACACTTCTGATTTGTGCAACTGCCGATGCAAATGTTACACTTCTGATTTGTGCAAGTGCTGATGCAAATGTCACACTTCTGATTTGTGCAACTGCCGATGCAAACGTTACACTTCTGATTTGTGCAACTGCCGATGCAAATGTTACACTTCTGATTTGTGCAAGTGCTGATGCAAATGTCACACTTCTGATTTGTGCAACTGCTGCATTACACTTCTGATTTGTGCAACTGCCGATGCAAATACACTTCTGATTTGTGCAACCAAATGCTTCTGATTTGTGCAACTGCTGATGCAAACATTCTGATTTGTGCAACTGCTGATGCAAGCGTTACACTTCTGATTTGTGCAACCGCTGATATGCTGGAAACATTGGTATTTCAACAAAATCAACCGAATTGTTCATGGTGAACGATTGATATTGCAAAGGGTCTTCATGTACCCTCTGGTAATTTAACGTAGCTATTGAAAATGGCCATTTATAGTGGATTTTCCCATTAAAAATGGTGATTTTCCATAGTTATGTTAGTTTACCAGAGGGTAATTGCTGTATGAATGACAGCCTTAAGGCAAAGTAGTCACCCCCTGTCTCAACACACAGCATCCCGTTGAATGCACGAACCCAAAGTCCAAGAAGATGTGGATCTTTGTGCTGTATGAACATCAACGTTTCAAGGAAGCTAACTGACCCAACTCCAAATTTTCAGCCGAGGTTCCTTGCTGAAATCCACCACAGCTGCATCGAGCAGCAAGTGGCAGAAGACTACCTTCAATAAGAACAGGCCCTCTTGTTCTTATTGAAGGTAGTCTTCTGCCACTCGCGACCATTGCCCTAAAGCTGGAGATGACTGGGTTTCCGAGCAGCAGCTCGGAAACCCAGTCATATCCAGCTTTAGGGCAATGGTCGCGATGATAAAATCATCTGGATCGGGTTCCCATGCATCCGGTTCCTGTGAGAAACCAAGGTGCAAAAGGGTGTCATTGGATCAGCATTGGATCAGGGGTGAGTCTGTGAAATATCCTGAGATTTTTTCACGTATCCAAAATGGAATTGATGAACCGGAATTCCACACAAGAAAAGTGTGAAGATGAAGGTGTCGATGCATCTTGTGTTCAATGCTGTTTATGATATAGCTTGACTCGCCTCCCAAAATGCTGGTATTTGAAGATCTCATTATCGTCCCAACAATGTATACATGGAAAAAAAACACTCCATCCAAGCCGGGACCAAAAACATCATCCACCGTCGGTTTCCTCAGGCCTTGCAGCCCCACACCATCAAAAAGTGGCTGAAGCGGTGCCCGAAGCCGGCGGCATAGGCTGAATTGATAGCCAAAATGAAGGCGGCCTGATCCCAAAGTTCAACTGGATCCATTCATTAAAAAATACCCAGAAGAGATGGTTAAGGATCAGCAAACTTGGGGGTTGTGGGTCACGCCAGTTCTCTGCTCTTGATTGCAAATCCCCAAAAAGCAGCTCCCCCGATGGAAAGATTTGTGTAACTGGTATAGCTTGCCTGATTGGCCTCGAAAATCCAGTGGAATCCAAGCCACGTATTCTTCGCAAAGCTCTGGCGTTGCCGGGCTTAACAAATGGATCTTGGGCCCCTGCAATGGACTCGTTGGCACCTGGGCACTGTAGAAGAGTTGCTCCCGCAAGGATTGATCTTTGCCATCCAGATTTCAAGATGGAATTTGCGCCCATCTCAAGTCATTTTCGGGTGGAAATCCAGCCAACATGATCATCATTGATCATCATTGATCATCATTGATCATCGTTACCCTCTGGTAATTTAACATAGCTATTGAAAATGACCATTTATAGTGGATTTTCCCATAAAAAATAGTGATTTTCCGTAGTTATGTTAGTTTACCAGAGGGTATCCAGTTTTCCATTTTCTCCACACCTCTCGGTAAACCTCCAGCCCTTTCCACATCACAAAGGACTGAGCCCACAGCATTTCAGCAGCTGCTTTCGAGGCCGCAACAGTGGTGGACACTGGTGGCGGCGATGCCTGCAGGTTGCTGCCGCTGGAGTGGCAACCGTGGTTGAAAATCCGGATTCTTGATAGGATAAAGATCTACAAATGAATGATTTCCCCTGATTAGCGGAGGGGAGCATGACTCTTCTGCAAGGGCTAGTGATGTCCCACCTGCAAGAGCCAGTAGCTGCCGCTTCATGCTGCGCCAGCCGCGCCATGGCGGCAGCGATGACAAGATCGAGAATCTGTTGTTAGTCACTGCCCCATGGGAAAACCTTACAGTAACCCCCTCATCCACCACGGGGTATGGGTCAAAGTTTGATCCAAAACCTATCCCAAATCAGCCTCCAGTACCTATATTACTTGGTTTCAATCCATGTATTCAGGAGTCTTTTGAAAAGGCCCAAGCAGTGAGCGGAGTGAATGAGCTCCAGTGGCTGGAACGACGCATCCCGCTACCAACATCCACCCTCTCTGACCCGTGAAGAAGGGAATCCGTACATCGTCTCTTGCCTTTTCAAAGTTGGAGAAGTTCCGCACTAAACCGCACTAAAATTCACTAAAATCAACCCATTTGGGTGGGCGTTATGGGTCCCTAACTTTTCCAGCTCTCAATCGAACCTCATCGTTCACCTGCAAGGTTTCGCAGCCAAACCTGTTGCCTGGCACAGCTGTGGACCCACCGCCCAACTGACATGGGGGTCATCCGACATGATTCTTGGGAACCCCGAACATCCCAAACCATCGCATGACTTGCCACCTGAAACTACATGTCGCAGAAGTTTCAAACAAGATATATACACAGGCCCCCCGGCAGACGGCAGTCGAAGCCATCATATGAACCCCAGATTCGATTGCAGCATGACTCATGACATGAGAACTGCCCGTCCAAAAACTGTCACGTCAAGTGTCAGCAGCCAGCCATTCAGCCTGCATTCTTCCAGATGGTAGGATGTCCTTTCGGATCCCTTAGCATGTGGGGGGACCTGGAATCCTGGGGCATTTTACCACGGGAATCGAAACAAAGAGCGGCTCAAAATGTTCACTTTGCATCCCCTTTCGTGGACTTTAGGAATCCGAAGTATGTGATCAAAACGTATCAAAAAACATATTCGATTTGCAAGCTATATGTTTCTTGTTCCCTTTGATGTCATCTTCTGAGGTTCTCACATGGTGCTTGGCACCAAGTACTGTGGTCCTGGATTCTCTGCCAGCGGATCTTTGACCTGGGCCCAAGGGTTTCACCCATGGAAACCCCAGCAAAACCATGGGAAAATCCTCCAAGTGTTGCCTTCACCGGCCTAGATCTCACCTACCAAGGCTCCTGGGGCTCCTGGGGCTCCTGGCGCCAATCAGTGTCTTTCCAATGCTGAACTTTGGGGCCGTGCCGTAACACCTCGTTGTCGCTGAGAGCAAGCAGCAGGATCAGCAAGATCCAAGCCAACCCAATAAAAAATGATACCCTCTGGTAAACTAACATAGCTATTGAAAATGATCATTTATAGTGACTTTTCCCATTAAAAATGGTAATTTTCCATAGTTACGTTAGTTTACCAGAGGGTATATGATGGCCAGAATGGCCAATCCCGAAAGCTCCACCCGAAAAGATGCCTGTTGTTCTTTTCAAGGACGGAGAACTACCATGGTGCCCAAAAATTGCATCCCCCTCCAGCAACCACCAACCGCATCCCACGAACAAGCGCCAACCATGACCGCCATCCAACCCAACTGGCGCCCCCAACGCATCATAGGCCCTGGAGGCGTCTGTGTCTAACATGCCATCGCTGTTGCTGCGGAGCGGTTTGCTCAAGGAGCCCCTCATGCTCCACTTAGGCCTGCAAGCGAAGGTTGTTGAGAGAGACCCAACTTGCGGATATTTGAGCATTTGATAAACTTTAATAATTTGATGCTTTTAAGGGTTGATTTTCACATCTGTTGCTCTGCCGAAGTCCCGCTAAGTTCTGGGCCCTTCACGCAGAGCGGCTCTATATCCAGCCTCAGGGTGGAAGAATATCTTTACCCCACCAGGGTTGGTCCAAAATATGGTATACTATGGTATACCGCAAAACAACACATCCTCCAGTGTTCTTGGCTTCCGACGTCCAATCCCCACCTTAGCAGGCTGACGCTGTGCTGATGTCCTGCAAATGTTGGATTTTTGCTTGTATCTGAAATCATCTGTTCCACCCAACCCTTCGGTACCCAGGAGGGGTCTACCACCAACCTCCAATCTATCAATGCAACATCTTGGAGCTCAGGTCTTAGGCTCATGCAAAGGCAGTTTTGTTGCATCTCAATAGCCATCTCAAGAATATCCCCCATCCCTTAGGAGGCTTTTGCTTCATCCGCACCTCTGTTTCACTGGTCCGAATTTCCCCATCCCAGAGAAGCTGTGCCAAGAGGCTTCATGCTCCGGTATTCATTCATGGTCAGGTCCGTCACTCGGCCATTCCACTTCCCCCTGCCAGGATGCAGCATGGTGGTCAAAGTGAAGGCAAAATCTGTCTCCCCTGCAACGTCAAGGGGGATTACCGTCGCTTAACCCTTCCAACGCTGTTGTTCCACACCAAGTGGCTTTCGCTTTCCCTTCCGTAGCTTCGCCTCACAGTTGACAGGTAAAACTGGCAGTGGTTCTCAACTCAATCTCAGCTGCCTCCCCCTCCAAAAGTATGCTCATACTCACCTGGCTTCTGTGGATAATGTCTTTGTCGCTGTTTTCATCCCCCTTTCTGATCATTTGCTCCCCGACTGCCAGAGCATCAGGTATATCGCCAACGAACATGGTCATAGTATGTCATAGTCATACCACCATTTTAGCTGCTCTATTGCCATAACTAGACATGTCGCATTGTTTCATCTGTTCATGATATTCTCACCCATTAATGGCTAGTTATACCTCCATTCCATCTAATACCCACATGGATTTGTCGGAAAAAAGGCTATGATGTTTATCTTTCAGGTTAAGAAATGCTTTTTTTTGGAATAGATCGTCCCTTTTCAGACACATCTGGCAAATGACCCCCTTGGGACCCAGGACTCGAAAGTTGCTGGGGGACTTCTTCGGCGACTCTTCTCCCTCCTCATCTGAGGGCGCACCTTTCAGCGCTGGTGTTGGGGTTGTCCAGAGGCTACCCCAAGATCATCCAAGATCCAGTGGTTTGGAAAATCATCTTCCCCAATGGCTGGTATAAGGTATAGCCGCTGCCTCCAGCCGGTTAGCATCCGACTGCTTGAAGGACCCTGAGTTTGCCATTTTCTCGAGCTAGTGGCCTTGTGTGGCCTGTCATGGAGTTTTTTTCAAGGTTTCCCTGCGAGAAACTTTGATGTACGCCAAATTCCAAACATTCTTGAGTATGCCATCAGTTATGTTCCGAATCCTCATGATTTTCATTGATTTCTCCCCCACTTTATCATTTCTCTCCAACTTTCAAGCACTGTACCCCAGGCGCCTAGACCACCTGCCATATCCTTCCAGGTCTCTTGCACCATGGCCGCAGCTTCGGCCATGACCCTTGCCACTTCATTCGCGGCTGCCATGGCTAGTCGATGGGATCTTTGGGCCTGATTCGAACTGGGATCTGAAAAGCTGGTGTCGACTTTTTGATGATTTGGAGACCGAAGTGACTTGGATGCGGTTGCTGGTGAAAATGGTGAAAGGGGCCTGACGATTCTTGTTCTAAATGTGATCCAAGGACTGGCAAGGAAGCGAGCAAAGACATGTCTCCCTGGACAAGTGACCTGATTCTTCAAGGCAAACAACCCGCATGAACCGGCCACAGCACCGCAAGTATGCACCATGTAGAGCACACCCTGGATTTTCTGCTGTAGTTTCCACATCAAATTGTACCCCTGGAAACATCCCAACGAATCCCCTTTGGAGTGGGTGATGGCTTGTGATCCAAATGATCCAGTGGAAGGGTTCAACATGGTTCAACCTACCTGAGGGCTTGTTTTCCCAGTGGAAGCGCTGTGGAAACGCTGCAGCAATTGGGCCGAAGTGCCCAATCTGCTGAATTTAAGGGTCGCGATTTTCGCGCGACCAAACTGCACCAATTAGATAGGCAAAGCCAGCAGCATCGCCCATGGCCCCATTCTCTCCATGGATTGCTGATCTCTGGGCCCCTGGCTTCACCTCCAAAGTTTCCAGGTCTACAAGAAACCATCGAATTGAAACGGCAAACAGTTCACAGGACCACGCCTTCCTCATTGGAGCCATCCGAACTGGACAAACTGTTAGCCGCTCGTCTCAAATCGAGATATACCTACCATTTTGAACGCACACTTAAAAATCGGGTATCTATATGCACATATGTGATCATATGTGAGTTTCGTAACTTGCTGCTGCCGCATACACCTTCGATTGTTTCCTGTCAGGGGAAAGCACATTCATTATGTGCCTTTTGACTCGTGGCTCAAGGCCAATTTCAGCGAGATAGGGGAAAAATCTCGAGTGCCGCCATAGGATTGGTTGGAAGGTGAAGAGTGGACTCTTTTGGGATTTGGTTGGATAGATATACATTTTTGGTGTTGTGGACAACACTGTTGGAACGACTTTACTTTGGTTGAACATCAACTACTTTCTGGTGATCAAGGAGGACCTTGAACCATTCAGGTGGGAACCGTTATCAGTGGCGTTGCGATCTACGATCCAACGACACTGGTAGCGGAGCCTAGAGGCTCGTGCTACTTGCACGCAAAGCCGGCCCGCTAGTTTTGTGGCTTCTGGATAGTGAGCAATGCCTCCTAAAGAGTCTGCCTCAACTGATGGGAACGGTGACTCCCAGCAGGGTTCCAATTTTTGGAATTTGCTGCCCAGTTTTGACCCGAGTGAAGATGACATACGAGAGTTTTCACAGAAAGCCAGGTTCATCCACGGTGTCATGCCCGAGAAGGACAAGCCCAACTTAGCTCCCAGGTTAGCTATGTTGTGTAAAGGGACAGCTTGGTCCCAGGTGCGTCAGTTAGATCCGAAGAAGCTCACCAAGGCCGACTCAGGTGTTGAATACTTGTTGGCCGCTTTGTCAGCTTGGGAAGAAACATCAGAGATGAAAACGTATGAACTGTTTGAACGAGCACTCTACAAGGTAGTACAGAAGTCTGATGAGGCCTCCCATAGTTTCTCACTTCGCCTTCAAGCTGCATTCAATGAGATAGGTGATGATGTCACTGTCAAACAAATGCAAGCCTTCGTGATGTTGAGACAGTCAGGTTTGTCGTCTGAAGACAAAAAGAAAATCCTGACGATGACAGGTGGTAAGCTGGATCTGACCGCAGTTGACCAAGCCATGAGGTCGTTGTCCACACGTGTGTTGATGGGCCCTGGTGAAACCAAGAAAAAGATTTACCCAATCAATTTCACAGAGGTGGAAGAGCCACCTGCCCAATCTGATGAAAGCCTTCCGGTTCAGAGCACTTACGTTGCATACCATGAGGAAGAGGATGTTTTGACAACCGAGCATCTGGAATACCTAGTGTCTCAGGGAGATGAGGATGCCAACGTAGTGCAACAGTTTGAGCGTGATTTCGAAGAGATGCTGCAAGAGATTCCTGATATGCAACAAGCAATGGTCTCATACAATGAGGCTAGGCAGAGGATCAATGATCGCCGTCGTAGCCGAGGGTTTTGGCCCACTGGAAAAGGAAAAGGGAAAGGTGGGTTCAAAGATGGATCCCGGCCATACCGCAAAGGTGGTGGAAAGTCTGGAAAAGAAGAGTTGCTGGCTCGCATTGCGAAAACGCATTGCAAGCTTTGCGGTGCCCTTGGGCATTGGCGTGCAGAATGCCCTCAGAGGAAAGAAACCCGTGAGTCAGCCAACGTTGCCTTCTGCATGCCATCCGAAGCATCCGATGCCGAAGAGGAGACCAACCAAGTGGTCTTTGAAGCGTTGAGTGAACAGGAGTGCATCCGTTGTGAAACCTGTTTCGTTGCCTCATGCCACCGAAATTCAGTTTTGTGCAAACAAAATGTTGAAGACGTGAAAGCCTTTTGGGGTAAGAAACTGGATAAGCCGGGGTATAAGCGGGGTAATAAAGGGGTTATTGGGTATAATGGGGTAACAAAGAATTGTGGTCCGGAGAATGTTCTGAAACCAGAAGTGGTGACCACAGCACTCCACACCCATGCCGCCAGGAAGATGCATCCGAGACCAACCAATAGAGCCGATGGTTTTGTCAGCCAGAATCACTCAGATGCCATGCAAAGTCAAGGAATGGCCATACTGGACACAGGTGCCAGTCGCAGTGTGATCGGACAAGACCATGTCCCCGCGATGCTCCAAAAACTGCCAGCCAGTGTCCGTGACCAAGTCGTGGAAAAGCCCAGTAGAGTAGGATTCCGTTTTGGAAATAACCAAGTTGCATATAGCTACAAACAGCTGCGCATACCATTGGTCCACAAGAGAATCCGAATCTGGTTGCTAATTGAAGTAGTGCCGAAGGCCACACCTTTCCTGCTGTCTATTAAGACCATGAAGAGTTTAGGAGCCATGATAGACCTAGGACAAAATACATGTTTCCTCAAGACACTGCAAAGGTCACTGTATTTGAAAGAAAACAAGAATGGGTTGTTCATGATTGACATGTCCGATCTTTGTCAACCTGATGTCAAGTCCAATGCAGCAGCTTTTGTCGCATCAAGTGTCTGTGCCCCGCCTCCAGGTCTGGAAAGTGAGATTCCTGTCAGTCATGCCGACACGCCAGGAAGTGCTCGATGCTCTTCGCACAGTGGCAGAGGAAGTGTTAGCCAGTCTGAAGCTCCTGATGACCATTGTGTTCACCATGACCAGTGCGATCGACCCGAACCAGGAAGCCACGGAGCTCCAGATGAATCCGGTGAATCAGCTGATTCACGAAGTGGCCCAACAACGTCGGACAATCGATCAGTTGGGGAATCTGATTCAAGCTCAGTTCCAACAGAAGCCACCCACATGTCCAGGACCTACCGTGAGCCCGGTGAACCATGTTCCAGGATCAGAAGATTTCGAATGGGAAGCCGAGATGGTGCCATCACAAGGCCAAGCTGCATCAACGGTGCCAAATTCTTCCCAATCGATGTCTGCTGTGATGATGAATGTCAGAGTTCCCAACAATCAGCCTCCTCCAATGCCAGTGAGACAGCCCATGCCGCATGTGTCAATGACACCAAGTGCCCGACCACCAGCTGCAATGATGGGAAGCCCAGGATCGTCCTACGCAGCTTCCGAGATTGGAAGCCAATTGATGGTGACTCAAGCATCCCTCGAAAGCTGGGGAAACAAGATCGTGGGCTTTGGCAAAAAGCATCTGAGGTCTCGTTACGCCCATGTGTACGAGTCCGACCCAGGTTACATCAAGTGGATTCTGGCCAGAGCCGACAACCTTTCCGAGGATGTGGCAGATTTCGCAAGCTATGCTCGAGCTCGCAATCAACTGGAGCAATTGGCCAACAACCCGGTTCCATGAGAGGCAATTGGGAGGAATTTCAAGATTCTAGGATGTCACATAAATCTAGCTTCAAAGAAAGACAACTGTGGAATGAAATGCGACAGCCTGACTCAGAAAGTAGTTCTCACAAGTCAGAACAGTTGGACATCTTAGAAGTGTATGCGTTCCCGAACAGCATGTTGACCACCGTGGCGCAAGAACATGGTTTGCGAGCAAGGAGGTTTACATATGAGGATGGGGATTTATCAACACCTACTGGAAGAAGAGCTTTATTTCACATCATCAAGACACAGAGACCAAAACATATTTGGCTTGCACCGGAATGTGGTCCTTGGTGTGCCTGGAACCGTTTTAACTCCATGCGAAGCCTATCAAGTTTTGAACAAGTCATGCACCAACAACGTCTTGCCAAAGAACACCTGGTGTTGTGTAATGTGGTAGCTCAGATTCAGCATGATGAAGGTAGACACACCCATCTCGAAAGTCCCAAAACCTCCGGCGTTTGGAAGCAGCAGGAGATACAGCCGTTTTTGAAGCGTTCCATTCCGGCCCAGCTGGACCAATGTGCTTTTGGCCTGAGACATCCGAGTGAAAATCAGTTGATGAGAAAATCCACTCGCATACAAACCACCTCAGTTGAGATGTTTTCCGTTTTGGACTGCCGTGTTTGCAATCGTGAACATAGTCATAGTACCATAGCAGGAAGATGTCAGTGGAAGGGTCATAGCATTTCCGTGTCCAGGTTTGCTGCCTTCTATCCACGCAAGCTTGCGCTGACCATTGTCCGTGGAATCATGCAAACATCCCAAGGCCCCTATGAGGCGCCAATTTGCCATGTAGATGAAATAGAGCCACCTGCCAAAAGGGCACGTACCAACTCTGGTGAAGCCTCTGCACCACACGACACCGCGAACGTGTGGAAACCAATGTTTGAATTTCTACAGAGAAAACTTCCCAAATCAGGTGTTGTCACTTGGGAAGACCCGCAAGATGAAGTCTTCCAGGAAATTCAGAAACTGTTTCCACATGAGAACATTGGTGCAGTCAAAGCAGGAAAAGGCCTAGATCGTCTTTTGTTGGGCGAAGAGGCTTGGAGAGATCAGCTGCCGAAAAGACATAGCATAGTACAGAAAAGATTCACTCATGAAATAATTGACCTAGGACTTGAAGTTTGGAGTGAATTAACTCGGAAAAGGGCTTGTCGAAAAGAGGTGCCAAGCCATATCATGTTGTGTTTGTTTTCCAGAGATGACAGCCGACCTGATACACCTATAATGCCAGCAGCCAATCCCGCCAATGGATCAATTGAGACAACAGCCGCTGAATCAACAGCCAGTCCACCAGTGCAGGTAGATGTGCCCAGCTGGACTCCTTTAAGTGCCACTGTTTCAGGCCCAAATTTCTTGAAACTTACTCGAGAGCAACAGTCCATGTTGCGCAAGATTCATAATAATCTAGGACACCCCACAGCCGAAAGACTGGCCCGACATCTAAAGGAATCCAAAGCACATGAACACCTGGTGGAAGGTGCTGCCGACTTTGTGTGTCCGTCATGCGCTGAGAGACACCCACCACAAAAGACTACTCCCGGCCAACTCAAAGACCCGAAGGATTTTAATGAAAGAATTCTTTTGGATGGTTTTGACTGGTGTAGTAAAAGGGGTATTCAAATCTATGTGTTCCATATCCTAGATGATGCTACCCGTTTCCATTTAGGTCAAAGGATAACCCGGGATACCCAAGCCTCCATCCGTACAACGAAACAGATGTGGATTCAATGGGCAGGATCCCCACAGGAAATACTACATGATCAAGGTGGAGAGTTTGTATCCCAGCCATGGAAAGATTTTTTGCAAGCCCACAGCATTCAGCCAGTGCTCACTGCCGCTCCGTGGCAACGTGGTCGTATCGAGAGACATGGAGGTGTGATCAAGGAAATGCTTGAAAGAATGGACCATGCACAGAACTTCACCAGTCTAGCTGAAATAGATGAGGCTCTTAACCAGTGTTTCCGAGCGAAAAATTCTATGATAGTGAATAACGGATATAGTCCAGAACAAGCTGTACTAGGTAAGGCCTCTAAACTTCCTGGGTCACTACTCTCAGACGAAGAATCAACTGCTCATCACATGTGCCTTTCACCCGACCCAGCATCCGAGCAGTTTAAGCGAAGTCTTGAATTGCGGACAGCCGCAAGAGCAGCTTTCTGGCATGCTGACAATCATGCTGCAATTCGCAGAGCAGCCCTTCATAGGTCACGAGGTGTGATACATGAATGGCTGTGTGGACAGTTGTGCATGTTTTGGGATAAACGAAAAGCCCCGAACATATTGGAGAAAGGACGATGGTGTGGTCCAGCACAGGTAGTTTGCCAGGAATCAAGAACAATCATATGGATCACTCACATGAATCGGTTGTTAAGATGTGCCCATGAAAATCTCAGACCAGTTTCCATGCGTGAATTTCAAAGACACTCCACTTTTACAACTTCAAATGCCCAAGAAGAATTGAAACAAATGGCACAACGTTTACAGACACAGTTGAAAGAAAAGAGTGGCATGTTTCAATACTCCGATTTATCTGAGGTGAATCCTCCAACAGAAGAAGAGGCAAACGATGGCAATAGCGAACTTTCGACCTCTCGACAACCAGAGGAAGAACCAATCAGACGCCAACGAGGTGAGATCGAAATTCCTGACGAAACCATGCACGACCCTGCGGTCGAAACGCCTGTTCCAGACTCCCCGTTTTCTTCCAATAGTGAAGAAAGCCCTGAATCAATGGTTCCAAGCCCGAGCCTGGCACAATCTGCTCCTGACACTGCATCATTGGACACAGATCAGTCGGAAAATGAAACTCCGAGTAACATGGAACCTGTGTATAATGCTGTTATCATCGAGAAGAATACCGAGACGACAGACTGTGTTCATGACGATGGCGCTCTTTGGTCAATGCCCGACCCTTGCGAAGCAGCGTGTGTGTCTTTTGAGTTTGAAATGCCAAAACAACAATTCCATAAGTTCCTCAAATCTCCCAAAGAGCACCTGCCAGAGGTCAATGCCGCAGCCCGCAAGTTTGGGAAAGAACTTGTTTACAGTGACTTGACACCCCAAGAGAGAGAGAGGTTCAAGCAAGCCAAGTTGAAGGAATTGAATTGTTGGTTGGATACTCAAACGGTAAGAACCATAGTTCGGGATAAAATTCACCCCTCCAGAGTTTTAGCCTCTAGATGGATACTGACTTGGAAGGAAGATGAAAATAGCGAAGATGGAAAGAAACCAAAAGCACGACTTGTGGTAAAAGGTTTTCAGGACCCCGACATTGGGGAATTAGCATCCGATAGTCCCACTCTCACCCGAGATGGCAGGATGTTATTACTCGAGACAGCTGCCAGCCACAAATGGTGTATTGAAAGCTTTGACATCACTACTGCCTTTCTACGAGGGAAATCCGATGATCGTCAACTAGCAATGGAACCCCCAAAGGAGTTGAGAGAACTGCTTGGAATGGAAAAACATCAGATCTGCCTACTAGAAGGAAATGCTTATGGACGGGTAGATGCCCCTTTGTTATTCTATCGCGAATTTCGGAAATGCTTAGAAGAAGTAGGTTTCACCGCACATCCCTTGGACAATTGTTTGTACTTGTTAAGAGACCCCAAAGATCCAAAGATCCTCAATGGGATAGTGGGTACTCATGTGGATGACGGTTTGGGGGCAGGTAACCACAAATTTAGCTATGCCCTACAACAACTTCAGAAAAAGCTTCCTTTTGGCTCACATGAAAAACGCAAATTCCGTTTCACAGGACTTGAAATAGAACAGTTGCCGGATTTTTCTATCAAAGTTAGCCAAGAAAAATATGTCCAAAGAATAACTCCCATAGACATCCCTAAACTCCGTAGAGCAGAAGTTGATAGCCCTATCACTCCACAGGAGTTAAATAAACTAAGGGGGATTTGCGGGAGCCTACAATACGCCGCAGTGCATTCCCGGCCCGATGTGGCCGCAAAAGTTGCGCACCTGCAGAAGGGTATTACCAAGGCGACCGTGCAAACTCTGCTAGATGCAAATCGAGTACTCAAAGAAACCCAAGAGTTTGCCAACACCTCTGTGATCGTACGTCCGATCCCCATGACGGAGCTCTGTTTCGCAAGCTTTGGTGATGCAAGCTTCGCTTCGGCCAAACAGATGTCAGCCCAGCAAGGGATTTTTATCATGGCATGCACACGGAAACTAGCAAACAATGAGACGACAGACTTCTCTCCAGTTGCATGGCATACCAAACAGATTGGTAGGGTGGTTCGTTCTACTTTGAGTGCCGAAGCATACGCTATGTCCAGTTCACTAGATAAGTTAACGTGGATTAGATGCATGTGGGGTTACATAAAGGATCCCTCTTTTGCTTGGCATAAACCTGAAAAGTCTCTTTGTGTAGAACCACCAGGGTTAATGATCACTGATTGTAAATCTTATATGACTTAGTCACGAAGACTGCAGTGCCAAATTGCCAGGAGTGGCGTACCACCATAGAAGTCATGTTGCTGAAGGAACAATCAGCTAACCATACCCAATGCCGCTGGATCAGCACTGCTATCATGTTGGCAGACTGCCTAACGAAGTCCATGGACTCAACTTTCTTACGCACCGTTTTGCAGTTGGGAAGATTCAGAATCTACGATGAAGAAATGACCCTCAAACAGAACTCGAATCGAAAATATGGTGTCACATGGGTGAAACAATCGAACATAGAAAAGAGACCAGTGTGAGTTTCGTAACTTGCTGCTGCCGCATACACCTTCGATTGTTTCCTGTCAGGGGAAAGCACATTCATTATGTGCCTTTTGACTCGTGGCTCAAGGCCAATTTCAGCGAGATAGGGGAAAAATCTCGAGTGCCGCCATAGGATTGGTTGGAAGGTGAAGAGTGGACTCTTTTGGGATTTGGTTGGATAGATATACATTTTTGGTGTTGTGGACAACACTGTTGGAACGACTTTACTTTGGTTGAACATCAACTACTTTCTGGTGATCAAGGAGGACCTTGAACCATTCAGGTGGGAACCGTTATCAGTGGCGTTGCGATCTACGATCCAACGACAATCATATATGTATATTGGATGGGGTAACCATATACGCATAAGTCCATCAACACCAGCACCAACACCTACCAGTGCGCCCTATGCCCGAATCAGCGGTGATGAACCGTTGATCATCCGCAAGGCAGCACTCAAATCGCCACTGCACTTGGTCAGGATCTCAGCGCGAAAAACCCACAAAGAAAGTGAGGGAAACCACCAACATCCCAGGTTTTTCCCTGGTTTTTCTCATGATTTTTCCAGTTTGATTTGTAGTTGTTCCCGATTTTGTCACAGGTTTTCCCATGTTTGTCCTGTGAAAAAATGGTCGGTCCTCCAAGCGTCGTGTCGACTGGGCGGGTTTCGACAGATCCCCTTTTTGATCAGCTGAGCCCCGGGACACTGCGAAGCTCCTCGGTGTCTCCATAGCCCATTTCCTGTGACCAGCTGTGACCATGGGGTCCAAGAATAGAAATTGATGAATCATTCTACAAAGTGTAGGGTGGAAGATTTCAAGATATAGAAAGTCATTGAAACCATCAAATCCATCAATGAGACTTTCAGGACCCTACAATGGAGCTACTATAATATACGGTCATATTTAGGTACCTGGAAAGATCTTTGAATCAATCAGTTTTTCCTGCAACCAAACCCCGACCACTTGCCATGCGCCTTGAGTTTCTTCAAGCCGCTGCCATAGCGGAAGCGCGGCTTGTCGACAATGAGACCACTCTTGGCCCTGCCCGCCTTGCGAATGGCCCTGGAAAAAATCAGGAACCCGTTTTTTTTCACGAAATGTTGGGGCCAGTATATACAATAATTGTCCTGCGATTTTTTCACACGTCCTGCGATTTGTTCCCTACAACAATTCTACAACTATATAATGGGTATTTAGCAAAAGAAATAAGGGAAGAAACCCGGAAGGAAAAGCTAGAGCTTGGTGAATGATTGGTCATCTAACTAAAGGTGAATTGTTTGTTTGGAGGTGAACAAGTGGGAGCCACAGCATCAAATGATCCAAATCGGCATGGGGATGGGTGCAGTGTTTCGATTCCCCAATGTATCCCATGATATCAATCCCCATATATATATATATTCCAATTACTAATAGTCCGTTATATGTCGTAATTATCCAGATGAGAATTTGACCAACCATCATTTTGACCAGATGTTATATTCCATTATATGTGGTGATGATGAATAACAACCATCATCACCATCATCACCATCCTCATCTCCATCATAGCCATCAGGCCTCCCTGGGTTCTCGGGAGGTCTCCCGCCGCGCCGCCGGGGCCGCCGGGGCCGCCGGGGCCGCCGTGGCCCGTGGCGGGGTGGCTGCCTTCACCTGGCGACGGGGAGCTGAAATCCTCATTTTTTCATTTGAAAAGGTGTGAAAACCCATTGAAAATATGGGAAAATATAGGAAAAGAATGGAACGTATGGGAAATATCCACGGTTTGTCAGATGTTCTTTGGCCAGGTTGGATTTCCAGAGGGTAGATGTCTTGGAAATGTTTGGAAATGATGTATCACGTGAGATATATGTATATTAAATTATATTAATATATGAAGACCATATATTTTGCACTAGGGGGCTGTTGATTAGGACCCATTCAGATTTTCTTATATAGATAGGATAGATTAGGAATTATTGGAGACTTAGAAGCAAGGAACATGGTGGTATCATGCTATCCTTTTAGCTGTTTTAACAAGCGACCATGACGGGTGGACCACCAATGGGAACGAGAATAGCACCCACAACAGCGGAGCACCGATCGCATGATTGATGGTTGATCTCTAGAGTCTACTCGAGTCTACTCAAACAATCCAGCATTGTTTTTCCGGGAATCCAATCAAGAATGCCATTGAAGTGACCAAACAAAAAGGGCTAACAGCCCACCCTGGGTCTCTGTCCATGGTTCTTCACCTGTATCACTTTCTTCCCACGCTGCTGCCCGCAGTATCTGCAAAAGTTGGCATCTGCCGGCATGGCACTAGCGCAGCGCGCACAGTGTGCCTCCTGGATGACAGACAGGGCTACCAAGCGGATACAACCACCACCAGTACCATCAGAATCTGTATCAGTAGGTCTCAATAGGCAATGATTGCAGGGAAGGACTGACATCACTATCATGTTTGGTTATCATTCACCACCATGCTCAATCGAACATGTGATCGACAGTTTTTAAGCCAGTCCTGGTTTCGAGGGGGCCTCAAGTCGCAGACTGTGAAAAGGGGATGGCAAACAGCATCAGAATCTCCGTCTAGTTTCAGAAGTCAGCCAAGCGGGCTGAGTTCTAAGAAAAAAAAGATAAAAAAAAGTCACATAATGGATGAACAGGGGATGAAAATGTCAATGATATACTTCACTCTTCGGCGTGGTTTTTTGTTCGACCTGCCAGCTGAATCTCAGGTGCAAACATATTCTCACTCCCTACCTGAGCAGGATACCACAGCAAGGGACCAAAACTGAAGACAGCCCAAAGTCATTTGCTTTCAAACTCCAATATAATGTAGGCTAGTGGTATGTATGTGGAATGTAGGTGTCCAAGTTTTTGACCTCCTACATCTATTGTGGACGCGAGGCCCTAGGGCAAATCAGCCGTGCACTGTGAGGCTCTTCGGTGGAGGTGGTGGTCGTCTTTCACCTCAGCATCAATCAAGAAGATACGTATCATGTTGGCACGCGAAACATGATGTGATTGTGGGAGGAACAACAGAACTGGGGTGACCAGGCCACTCACCAATCCCCATCTCCATCACTAAGGAGGCTGCTCAAAGCTGCCACTGGCAGGGTTGTGCCACCCTGCGCCACCGGACGGTGAAAGAGTCAATCCTACCATGGCCAGCATGGCCAGCCTTCATGGCTTCAGCTGGCTTCAGCTTGAAATTCCAGCCGCAATGCGTCATGACTCAGCCGCGCACCGGAGGAGTACGTCCCATCATTGACATCAAGGTCCTGACTCCCGAAGGGGGAGTCCCCGCAATTCGATGGGTCAGGGAAGGGTTCTGAAGACGGGGATGATATACCCTTGAGATCCCTTGAGTGAACAAACATGGCAATGGAAAAACATGGAAAAACATCCATGATTGACAGGATGATCAGAAACAAATGGACGGGTGTTGTTGTCAGGTTAGATTCTCAGAGAGTAGTTCATAGAAGCTATAAGGGTGCAGCCGCCCTTATCAAGCCACAACTTGCAGATCACACAAAAGAGTAAGGCAAGCAACAGGACCTGTTGCCCTATGGGTGTGACGTCGCTTTCTTTAGCCATTGTGGCTGAAACACAGAACTTGGAGGTCTGACTCCTCCCACGTCCGCTTGCATTCGTTTCTTTGTTCTTTCTTCTTGCCTTTGTTCTTTCTTCTTTCGTGTTTTGCTTTCTTCTTTCCTTGTTGACTCTTCTTCTCAATGTCCCAGTTCAAGCAGATCGAAACATGTTCAAGCCAAGCTCTAAAGTGGGCAGTTTCATGATCACTCCTTATCTAGCACTAAATATGTTCATGTTTCGGGTGACCATCCCTTACCAAACCGCAGAAACCGGTGAACGCCATGTCACCCAACCCAAGCGGAACCTGGCTCCACCCGTGACAGATTTCAAGGGCGTAGCTGCCACCTGGTCATCCAGCTGATCTGTGGGGGCTCACATCATCCCCAAAAGGGCCATTTCTACAGGAAAAATGTCACAAGGATACCCACAGATATCACAGATTCTAGGGGGTTGACACTGTTGAGACATGCCCACAGCATGCTGAGACTGGATGGTCAGAGACGGTTGAACCATGGAAGTCTGGAAGTCCACCGTGCCTCTGTGTGAACTCCCAAGGGTTTGCCCCGCGCCGGAGTGTTGACAGACTGTGCAGGGACAGCCCCACACTGTGACGCGGTCCAGGTCTTGGAAAAAAAACTGGCATGATACTAGTTACATCTGGTTACTAAACATAAATCCAGCAATCCTCAACTGATCTGTTTCCTGGTGTGGAAGGGTCCAGAACGCACGGATTGGCAGATCTTCAAACAGAACCATGCATCAGCCGCTGCGCGAAGCCTCCAAGATCTGCCGCACCTAATCACACAGGTGACCCGAGCGGACCTCATTATCCTTGGAATTCCCTTTTGCTGACGAAAATATTCAAACAGAAATAGGGGTCTTTCTTTGACTTAGTCCTCAACGTAGTGATTATATAAAGATTTTTTAAAGCAGTTCCAACTTTTTGACGGGTTGGCCTCTGATGCTCTTCTAAATCGTTGACCTTCAAACTCCTCTCCATCTTCAACAGGAAGTTGGATACGTACTCAGTCCATTCAGCAGCTTGCATGGCTAACCTTGGCTGCCCTGTAAAGAAAACTCAATTTGTTCCAAAAATCAACCTCTCTGAACCCATCAACCCAACACTTGCCCGGATTGAACCCTCCACTTCACTCGAGAGGTGTCCGGCCCGTCGCACCTGTGCCTTTTGCATCTGTTGCAAAGGTGCCGGTGGAGGGGATGGAAAGGGCGCTGCTGGGCTGGGCCTGAGTTGTTGGCCAAAGTTGAAATCAAATGCTGTTCTTCAGGTTGGATTTTGCTCCCATCTGATACACACCTTGCTGGGATGGCTTCAAGACCTTCGTTCTCATTCTATCTCATTCTTGTATATTGCGAAACCACCTGCTATCTATGCAGGTGGCAACGACGGTTCCGAGATCTCCTGTTTGTTTTTTTCCCCAAAAAGCAGGCTTCGGGAAGAAACCAAGAATGGACGACATCAATCCAAAGTCGGCTCTTTGCCTGTGACCCAAACAATCCAAACAGAAACTTGTGAACGGAGGGACTATCACTTTCGTGTGAAACAAACTGGAAGGCAACAAACTGGAAGGACCTCGGTGAGGGCGCTTGGTATGGCAGCAGCACCGTCTTGGCCTCCCACTTTCACGACTGCTCTGGAAAAAGGTCTTCAGTTGCAAAACTGGACCCAACAAAGAGCCCCATGGCCTCGTGGATGTGCACCACATCTTGAAGCTCCTGATGACAGCATAGCTCAACGGCCAAGTGGCCATGGCACAGAGGCATCGAGGTTGGAATGCAGTAATTGCTGGCACAAATTGCTGGCACCTGAGCAACTGAGGGCGGTGGATGAATGTTCACCAGAATGGTGATGACCTCAGAAGAAGCCAAAGCAAAATGGATTGAATCAGTGAGGTAATGTTCCAAGGACGCGGGATACCCATCCTTTCTCTTTGCTTGTGACATTGCCTATATAAATCAGGCCCACTGCTCCAAAGGGAACCTCTTTATCCCCACCAAAACACGTTGATCATGCCATGAGTCGATACTCAAACGGCTTCATGAGGAAGGCCAACAAAAATGTCACATCAGGAGGATGTCACAGCAGTGCCACAACTGGGATTCCAAGCCCCAGCACATGCCACCAAGATTGTGGTCATCAAGGATTGCAGGGCAGCAGGTGCCTCCAGGTTTTTTTTCATCTGAAGGGGCTTCCGGGAAAACCAACCTAGGTTCAGTAACCTCCCATCATTTCAAGATCCAAACACCATCAGAATCTATCACCTTATCAAAATAATTCAAAACCACAGAAGTGGAGATCCATTGGATATAGAAAGCTACGCCTACCGTACGCCTACCATCCCCATCCATCCCCCATCACCTCTTCCGGTTCAGGTACAGCTGGAGCAGGCGGAGCAGGCGAATCAATGGTCTCAGCACCTGCTGGAAACCGGGCTCCAAGGGTTTCGGACATCTTTTTGCTCGTGACTTGTCAAGCAGAGTTACACCATGTTGTACCATGTTATACCATTCCAATCCATCATACCCTAAGTCCCCAATCATCCCCAATCCCTAAGTATCCTAAGTAATTCCTAAGTCCCATATCCCTAAGTCCCCAATCTTCATACCTTGCAATCCCCACAGTTTCCCAAACGCCTGTCCAGGAAGCTCCACTGAGGCTCGAAGAGAAAGCACTGAGGATCCAGTGCCAGACCTGGGGATCTCCGAAGTGACGAACTCAGGGCTTGATCTGTTTTTGTAGTAGCAAAAGCATCAAAAACGTGCAATGTTTCCAGCATGTTTAAGTGGAATATCTGCCTAGGTGTCATCTAACCCAACAAAACAGCGAATCCACCAAGCCACCAAGCCCTGGAGCCACCAAGCCCTGGAGCCTCTTCCAAGCTGCGGAAAAAGCTCTTGGCAACAACCCGCACCACCAGGCCCGAAGCCTGGCCCAAACAAGCACCTTCCGTACTGGAAAGGACCAGGCCATTGATTTAGGGGATCCCATTTTTTTCCGGTTGAGCCTCAAGCTACACCTTTTCTTTGCTTTGAGGGATCCAAAGAAACGAAACGAGACACCGAAACACATCACCCGGGCCCCAGACGTCCATCACAGCCGCCACTGCCACGGACAAATCCTCCTCAAGGGCCGAACCATCCATCAGTTGAGTTCCTGGCGCACACGTCGGTGATGACTGACTCAGCTGCGCCATGAAAACTATACCTACCTATGCAGGAATACTCAACATCCTCAACCTTTTCGGAGTGGAATTTGGAATAATTTTGACTCGGAAGCTTTACCCACTGTATTCCTAGCGAAGATGGAATCAGCCTTTGCCAAAACTGCACCAAGTGTCTTCCTCCAGAAAGGTACTGCCCCAATGAAACAAGCTGTCGACTCTAATGACCATCCATATAGTGCCATATCAACAGGTTCCCCACACAGATTTGGAGGGGAAAAAAACACTTGAGACACCAAAAGGTGTCCCGCAGCTATAGGAAAGGCAAGGTCCTGGTTGCTCGTCTCTGAACTGGTCATCATCCTTGTCATCTTCAGCTTTCGATGGCTTCTCCACTGGTTCTGGCAATTCTTCAGCCTGGCTGCGTTTCTGAAGCAGGCGATGATCTCACAACAAAGGGGGGCCAAACCGGCCAAACTGATCGATGGCATTTGCATGGTGGTCGCTATGTCAAGCAACAAACAGCTTCACTGAACTTGAAAGTTGATTTGCCGTTCCATTCTGATTCAACTATGTTAACATGCACCTAAGAAACAAGGTATGACTAACATACCAACTCACCATGCTCCACGTTGAAGTGTCTGAGCCTCTGGGGCCTTCACCGGCAAAGTTTGCTCATCCTTCGGGCGTCGCTTCAATGGATTTGAACTTCCGAACTTGTACCCAGTTTTGGGTGAACCCCATCCAAAAAATAGCCACCTTTGGGGATGTTCCTTCAAAATCCATCCACAGCAGCAAGGGACCCACTTCCACCTCAGAGGTCTCCAAGGTCTCTTCAGGCTGGGTCGGAGGATCGTTGGCCACCTCTGCCTCTGGCTTCTCCTTCGAGTCCGTTCCCCATCTCACCATCAGTTCTTGAATTATAAGTCGTTTGGGTTGTTCATCATGCGCCGCGCCCAATCCCAAACATGAAACATCAAGCAGCTTCGAAAATGGACCCATCAGTCATAGACGTAACAACCTTGCATCATCCATCTCGGCAAATCATATGGATTCAGCAACCTGAAATCAGGCTCTGGGGCTCTGGGATAGTGACCCCAATCCCAACCATCCTTCCAGATCCCTCTGCCAGGCCCATCCCTCCTGAAGTTCCTCCCTCAGCGCAGGGGCCAAGTCCTCCATCGGAGCGTTTCCACCGGGGCTCAACTTGGGGATGCGCAGCTGGGTCTCCACCTGGAAGATCTGAGGGGCCTACTTTATGGGGAAGCTGGCACTGACAAAAATCAGGAGCTGGATGATCGAAGAATTCTCTTCAACAAATATATTGAAAATCCGCCGACCCCTGCCGCCAGCAGGGGGAGCGCGTCAGAGGAGGCCTTACTAGCAACAAGGGGCGAAAAGAGAAAATTCGCAGGCGCGGTCCTCAGGCCCTGCTGTTTGGCTGTGGCGGAGATGCCATTTAGGTCAGACAGCTAGCTAGTTTTCTTGTAAGTTCAGAAAGCAACGTTAGGCACTGGGGGCCGTGGCCCGTAGGCCCGGTCCGTCCCTCAGGGCCTTGCTGTTTGGCTGTGGCGGAGGCGCCGTTTTAGGTCAGACAGCTACTTTTCTTGTAGGTTCAGAAAGCAACGTTAGGCAGTGGGGGCCGTGGCCCGCAGGCCCCGTCCGTCCTTCAGGGCCCTGCCCTGTGTGAGCCTTGGCGGCTGGAAGACAGGTCGTGGCGGCCGTGGCCCGCACGCCCGGTCCGTCCTTCAGGGCCCTGCTGTTTGGCTGTGGCGGAGGCGCCGTTTTAGGTCAGACAGTTACTTTTCTTGTAGGTTCAGAAAGCAACGTTAGGCAGTGGGGGCCGTGCCGTCCCTCGGGGCCCTGCTGTTTCGGTGTGGCGAGCGCGCCCTGTGTGAGCCTTGGCGGCTGGAAGACAGGTCGTGGCGGCCGTGGCCCGCAGGCCCGGTCCGTCCCTCAGGACCGTGCTGTTTTGGCGTGGCAATCGCGCCGTGTGTGAGCTTTGGCGGCTGGAAGACAGGTCAGGCAGCTAGCTTTCTTGTAGGTTCAGAAAGCAACGTTAGGCAGTGGGGGCCGTGGCCCGCAGGCCCGGTCCGTCCCTCAGGGCCCTGCTGTTTCGGTGTGGCGAGCGCGCCGTGTTTGAGCCTTGGCGGCTGGAAGACAGCTAAGAGAGTTAGTTTTCTTGTAGGTGCAGAAAGCGACGTTAGGCACTGAGTGCGGTGGCCTGCAGGCCCGGTCCATCCTTCAGGGCCCTGCTGTTTGGCTGTGGCGGAGGCGCCGTTTTAGGTCAGACAGCTACTTTTCTTGTAGGTTCAGAAAACAGCGTTAGGCAGTGGGGGCCGTGGCCCGCAGGCCCCGTCCGTCCCTCAGAGCCCTTCTGTTTCGGTGTGGCGAGCGCGCCCTGTGTGAGCCTTGGCGGCTGGAAGACAGGCGTGGCGGCCGTGGCCCGCATGCCCGGTCCGTCCCTCAGGACCCTGCTGTTTTGGCGTGGCAATCGCGCCGTGTGTGAGCTTTGGCGGCTGGAAGACAGGTCAGACAGCTAGCTTTCTTGTAGGTTCAGAAAGCAACGTTAGGCAGTGGGGGCCGTGGCCCGCAGGCCCCGTCCGTCCCTCAGGGCCCTGCTGTTTCGGTGTGGCGAGCGCGCCCTGTGTGAGCCTTGGCGGCTGGAAGACAGGTCGTGGCGGCCGTGGCCCGCAGGCCCGGTCCGTCCCTCAGGACCGTGTTGTTTTGGCGTGGCAATCGCGCCGTGTGTGAGCTTTGGCGGCTGGAAGACAGGTCAGGCAGCTTGCTTTCTTGTAGGTTCAGAAAGCAACGTTAGGCAGTGGGGGCTGGCCACAGGGCGGTGGCCTGCAGGCCCAGGTCCGTCCTTCAGGGCCCTGCGGCGTGTTTGGCTGTGGTCAGACAGCTACTTTTCTTGGGCAGAAAGCAACGTTAGGCAGTGGGGGCCGTGGCCCGCAGGCCCCGTCCGTCCCTCGGGGCCCTGCTGTTTCGGTGTGGCGAGCGCGCCCTGTGTGAGCCTTGGCGGCTGGAAGACAGGTCGTGGCGGCCGTGGCCCGCAGGCCAGGTCCGTCCCTCAGGACCCAGCATGCTGTTTTGGCGTGGCAATCGCGCCGTGTGTGAGCTTTGGCGGCTGGAAGAGGTCCGTCCCTCAGGGCCCTGCTGTTTCGGTGTGGCGAGCGCGCCGTGTTTGAGCCTTGGCGGCTGGAAGACAGCTAAGAGAGTTAGTTTTCTTGTAGGTTCAGAAAGCAACGTTAGGCAGTGGGGGCCGTGGCCCGCAGGCCCGGTCCGTCCCTCAGGGCCCTGCTGTTTCGGTGTGGCGAGCGCGCCGTGTTTGAGCCTTGGCGGCTGGAAGACAGCTAAGAGAGTTAGTTTTCTTGTAGGTGCAGAAAGCGACGTTAGGCACTGAGGGCGGTGGCCTGCAGGCCCGGTCTGTCCTTCAGGGCCCTCCTGTTTCGGCGTGGCGAGCGCGCAGGGTTCTGTTGTTTGGTGAAGGCTCCGTTTGTGATCAGTTCTGCACGGGCCATCGGTCGGTGCGACACTGCTTTCCGTTGGGCGTGCGATGCGTTATTTGAATTTGACCGGAAGCTTTTGTTGAATGCACCACTGTGCCGCATGTTGGACATGTGTGCGCAAGTGTACGGCCTGCAAGCAGGCCATTCGCAACGCGAAATTTTTTGCCGCAGCCATCACCGCGGCGGTGATAGACTTGCCCTGTTGCCACAGTGCTTTGCACAGATTTGGCGCAATGCGGGCAGAGGTATGTGTACACCCGCGGCGTCGCTGTGTCGGGCTCCGCAGCAAGCTGCTGGGTCGATGAATGGGCAACACCCGTTCTGGTTTCGTCTGTTCCCATCGACGTTTGTCTAGCCTCGTGGATTTTCTGAATCTCCTTGCAAACGTCTGCTAGGATTGCTTCGTGTCGTTGACGGGATTCGCGTTGGCGCAAGCGGGCCAAGCGTTGATTCGTGCGATGAGCAAGACGACACACGAAGGCAAAGGCTGTGCATGCATTGCATACTTGTGTACCATCCTGCGTATGTTTCCGACTTTGCTGCCAAGCTGTGAACTCTGCTCGTGGCTTGCGTTCGCTGCACTGGGAACATTGCCAACACCCCCGCTGTTTGGTGGTACATTCTCTGCAGCAGCGGCGGTCCGCGTTGCGAGCTTTCCATGCGGCCGGTCCAAATTCGGCTTCCGGTTTCGCAACGCCACATTTGAAACACGGTTTCTTCATTTCACACGTCAAGCACACACGGAAAAAACTACATTGCCGTTGGCGATGCTTTTCTGGAAAATTGGCCTCGACATGCCACAGCTTGCACACGTTGCATTGCCACGGGGTTCCAGCATCTGCATAATGTTTTGTGCACTCGCGACACACCTGGTCCGTGTCGCTGCGCTTCCATTGGCCTGGTGTGAACGCTGTGCTTTGTTTTCGTTCTGCGCAAGTTGAACACACGCGTTCTTCGCAATATTTTGCGAGCAACGCCTGCCAGTTGATGGCGTCGCCGCGGAGGTGTCGCAGAAGAAGGTCCCGGCCCAAACCGATTCCCTTTTGGAATGGCGCGGCGTCGAAAGGGCGGAAGATCAGCAGCTTCCCACGGCCTTGGACACGGGTGATTGCAACGTAAACCGTGAATGGGTTGCCCATTGGGCCGATACAAAGATCGGTCATCACGCCTTCTTTGATGGTTTGTCCTTGCGCAACATGCGCTGTGATGGCAAATTGGGGCGCGAGTGGAAATTGCGTGCGCGACACACGGAGCTTGGGACTCTTGCGTTGCCGGTCCAAGTACCACACGCGTCTGCAAGGTCCGACAGGGTATACGTTGCTATCTGGCATACCTGGTATCTGCCACGATGTCGCGGTTTCAAACTTTGCATACACCACCGCCGGCAATGCGTTGCACACAACTCCTTCAGGTGCAGGCGTCTCATTGGCAATCTCGGACCAACCCACGACGAGGCCTTTGGTGCCCTTGAGAATGCCGCGCTTCCGGTCCAAGTGGTCTGTTGCACGGACAGGCATGCCGACGCACAACGGCAACACGCCGTATAGCCGTATAGCCCACCGCACTCTTTGTCGTGTCGCTGCAACCATTGCAATTTCTCGTTTTGGCAAATCACCTATGATACTTCATACAGTTTTCTCTTCCGAGGGCAAGCCACTCACCGCCTACTGCAGCCAAACTGCAACCCGGCAATCTTGCATCTGCTGCCAGCATCGCCATAGAGCCGTCTGCCCAAGATCACCAACGCCTGAGCACCGCCCCACTCAATCACCCATAACATCGTCTTACTTCTTCCAGAGCCTCACCCACACCCAACCCCCTGCTTCTCCCGCTACGCCAAGGCACACCAGTCCAAACATTGGTGAATTGCACCAAGTTCTTTGCCACCTCCGGGAGCTTCTTACCTCACGCTGCCCTGCTCCCGGGCCACCACTCATCTCTCTAACTTATCTCAATATGGATCCATGTGCGATACACAGTCAGCTCGATTTGCTTCTTGGTTGTGTCTGGAAACGGGACCCTTACAGAAGCCATCAGACTTTGGTACAGAGACTCCTTCACATGAGGGACCTAAATTTAAGACCCAAAACAATATGGATGTGCGCAACACCGACCACATGGGGACTGCTTTCCCAGATAACCACCGGGATGGAATCTTAAACAACGAAAATGTGTACAGTACGTCCCCACCAGAAACGCACAGCGCGGAAATCCTTAACAAAGTCTTGACATAAACCTCTCAATGCCTTTTTTTTCTGTCAATATGTTTGATGGCCATAACAAAATGAATGGCTGACGGGTCTGCGGTCCATGTTTCTGTTTCACTCCTTCTGCAGTCTTCGATCTTTACAATGATTTTTTGGCCTGGACCGACCTCTCACTCGCAACAAATTGCCGTGGTCCACGCAAAATTTCATTCTTCATTGCGAAACACAATGCTTTCCCCGACGCCCAGGTGAAACCTACTAGGATAGGGGTGTGTGCTTGTACGTGTGTCTGTGTACGGCCTGTCGATGCACGAATCCACCAACCCATTGAAAGTCAACACCCAACCGCCCTTGGCGTCACCGCCCCTGCTCAACTGCCGTCAGCCATGTTGCATTTCCGGCACAGTCTGTGCACCTCCTCGCCGCCCAGCTCCACCAACTCCGCCGTGACCAACTCATGCAGCCTGCAGCCGCTCAGCCCTCCTACATTCCCTTCCCCAACATGGCCCTCATCTCCCCTCATTCTCTAACCCTTCCTGCATCTTGCAGCCTCAGCTGCCATACAGACCCTCCTCTGCTGCCAAGGCACGGCGCCCCAGCGATCGCAGTCGATGATCCGCCCACGCCAGCACCACATGCAATACACGATCGCGGCATGGCTCTCTGTCTATCTACCTTGCAAGTCGAACAACATGTACTTTTTTGTCAGCGACAGGGCCATGCCAACCTAGTCTCTCTCTATCTCTCTACAGGCTTGGAGATAGAAGAAGTCATTCACATATGTTGATGCACTGTTTCAGCTGCCAACATGCGCAAAAAATATGAGATGATAAACTGTGATGTTGACTGTCATGTCGAATAATGCATTGAATCAGTTTAATCTTTTCATTGATGCTTTGCACTCCCATAAGCCAAAGTCCACAACATCGCGCAGTTGAAGCAGCTTTGTCTTCGTCCAAAATTGCCTTCACACTTCAGATCGCATCACTGCAGAGGCTTTATCGGAGTTTCTGCCCAGTATGGTTTTGCACATATTTTGCGTCTACTAGTATATACCATGGTAATATGACCCTCCAGTGTCCAGGGGTCGGCGGCAGAGGGCGTAGCCCTTTAATATATTTGGAAAAAACATGAAAAAAACACAAACACCTTCTACACGTGATCCTGAAGTATCCTGCAGTCTCCACTTTCCAACGCACCGCTCCACCCCCAGCCTCTGCCCAAGGTGGCAACGGTGCAACCAACCCCACAGGCATTGGCATCCTACAAGCAGCTGAAACATTTATGGATAGTGAACACAGTGTCCTCATCTGCTGGCAAAGCAGGGAGAACATGCGAGAACTTGCATCCTAAAAGTGGAGCTCAGTCGAACATTCAATCCCTCCCCCATTGCAGTCCTTGTCCCCACTCCATCTACCAAATCACCTGAGCTCCGCGAGCTGCAAAGGCCATGGAAGAGCGAACAGGACACCATTGCCACCAAGGCACCCGAACTCATCATGAAACTCAGGAAGGAGGACACCAGAGCCACCTGGGTCACAGCCAGGGGAGTTTGACCTATGCTGTTCCTTCAAGACCAGATGAAACCTGACATCCACGAAGCAACAGACAGAGCTGGGCTGCCGGGCCATCAAAGCTCCGGTGAAGCCCGCTAGCAGCATGGATCCCCAGAAGCTGAAGCTGGGCTTCACGCTGTCGCTCAGTCCGAAGCTGGCCGCGGGGGCCTCACGTTGGCTATCTTTGGATTGGAGCTTGGAAATCACCTTTCAAACGTTTGGTGAATTATTGTTCTTGGGATACAGGACATGCATTTCCCTTCTGTGTATCCTTTTGTTTTTTCCGATCATGTCGAACTAGAGTATCCAGGATACAACGGTGGAGATAGTGACCATCCATGTAAACAAACGACGATGGCAACGACCTTTGACCACGGCACAGCCCCCCAAAACCATCCTCAAGCTGCGTCCCAGCGGCTGGCGGCTGACTGATGGTTGGTGCAATGGAAGGCCGTGGGGCCTCCGTGCCTCAGTGGCATGCCACAGAAGACTGACACGAAGAGGTGACTAAGAATATTGGTTCTATGTTCCCATTGGTTCAGAATATATTGGTAAATTGGTAGAGTTTGATAGTAACGGTAGTTACTCATTTTTCAAGATATACTATACATACCTCCATGATCGTTGATTGTTGGTCCGATGACCTGTAAAAAGAAGCAGATGGGAAGATTCTTCGCCAAGCCTTGACGTCTGGGCATCCCACGGGCAATGGAAGGACGGTGGCTGGGCACCACAGACCGTCGCGGCGAGCCAGGCTCAGAAGGTGGCGCCGATCGGCTGGCCATGACCTGTGATGGGCTGAGGGAGCTGTGGTGGTTGGTGTCAAAATGTGTGCTTCTGCTGGAAGGGAAAGGAAGAAATAAATTCATCGGCAACAAGGACCTTCGAAGCAAAATGACAAAGGATGACAAAGGTCTAAAAAGTGCAAGCTGCTAGGACAAGGCCCATCTGCACAGAAGCTCCAAGCTCCGTTCACTGAGAACCCACACCACGAAGTTCCTCACTTCCGAGCTGCTCAAATGCTCTTCATCACCATCCTGCCACCAGAGCAAAATGCTGAGAAAAGATCCCCATGAAGGCAAATGTTCCCAATCAACAAGTGTATCATACCCATGTTGATAACAGAATCTCTCATTCTTCCCCAACCTTTCGAAACATGAAGGGCCCCCAAGTCCCAGACTTTGCCCCTCAGTGTTGTGTCCTCATAGGCGATGTGGTAGGCCCGTTCGCCCGAAGCCACATCGACATCGATGGCAATCACCTAGCACCAAGAAAGGAACTGGGGAAGATCCAGGACATGTCCTGGAAATGTCATCGGCCTCTGCATGAATTCAGGAGTGCTGGCAAGTATCAACTTGGGTGACGATGAGCACTCCTTTACTTGCTTGATGTTCAATTGCACACAGGAGAGTGTAACCAATTTGGAACTCAAATGGACGACCGTAGACAGAAGGTTCTGCACCAAGGATTCCCTCCAACTGGCAGGAAGTGTGTGCCACAGGTGCAGCCGACCTGGCCATAGTACCACTGTGACCCAAAGATCTTGCGGATGGTGCAGCCCAAGAACCTTCCGGGACAGCACTGGGCAATCAACAGGCTGAGCCATCTGCAGGTGTTCGCTGGACATAGACAGGTGCAGAGCGCCAAATTGCCACAGAATGTGCTGTCTGATTTGCGATCTGCAAGTATCATGTCAAAAAAATGACTGACACCAAAGGGGATTCCTACTTCATAGATCATGATAATACCATCTATGTATATATATTATACATAACTAACTATATATATATACACAAGTTATAAGTATACATTCGGTAGTATAACAACGAAGCTAATCCCCAACTCAGCTATCTATATCTATCCCAGCACATGCCAGGGCCAGGGCCCCCAACGGATCGAGTCGCGCATCGTCCCGTGACAACGGCACCAAGCTCTTGCCCGCGGGGCTGGACCTGGGTCCAGCCCGGTTAGCTGGGAGAATATCCAAGGAGGTACCCTCTGGTAATTTAACATAGCTATTGAAAATGCCCATTTATAGTGGATTTTCCCATGAAAAATGGTGATTTTCCATAGCTATATTAAATTACCAGAGGGTACATCCAATGATAAAGTTTATGTGAGGAAAATAAACCATCTCCTTAATTGGGTCGTTCTTATATATGGCGAATGTCCTTATTAGTGGGAATACTTACAATATCATTGGGTAACGAGGTAAATCCAATGATCATTTATTTCTAATTATAACATTTGGGAGTTGTTTTGATACGCTTTACGATAACTCTTAGGATGTAAGCCACTACCACCAAAAGTTTGAATGCAAGTGACTGCCCAACAAGTAAAAGTTGGGATTGCAATGCAAAACAAACAACACCCAAAAAAATGTGATGTGAGGTAAAACCAGAACAATTATCCACAAAAACACTTACCCACACACATGTTCAATATTCCATTATCATCGGTTTGAGACAAAAGCATGCTTTTTCTGGTTGTCCTTTTTCTGGTTGTCAACCTAACCACCCCGCTAACAAACCGAGCACTTGTGCAAGTATCTTCTACGTTATGAGCTATGATGAAAGAAACGTCCAAATTCGGAACCGCCACGTAGTCATGAATGTAAGACTTGTGACCATATGCAATGCAACACTGCAACACAGAAAATCCATCACTTTGAACCTCTTCCAACTCTGTGTCTATCTTTGTTTGGTGCATTGTCTTCTGGTCGCCATGACAAGGTCCCCACAAAGCAAAGCGGCGGTCCATGGCCACTGTGGCACACTGATTGGTTGAATCCTTGCGGTGCTTGAGCAATGGTGTGCGTTCAGAGAATGCGATGTTCTTCTCGTGTTTCGCCAAATCTGGGTCCTCTTCTGCTCACTGGATGTAATTTTCGGAGGAAGCGAGGGTATATTTTTCCTTTGGAAGCGTGATCGTGACTGGATGGTGACCCTCTTCCATATGGCCAATCGTGCACTGTGACTAGCTCAAGCCCGTTGAGCCAAAAAGGAGCAAATAGATGCAAATAGCAAGCAGCAAGACCCTTTGCAAAGAAAGAAGTGAGGTTTACGAACACGCTTGCGACAAAAGAGCCCAATTCCTGCTTGAAATCAACAGGAGCATGGCACAGGCTTGTAAACAAACTGTTTATTCACCGAGAACGCTCTGGGTGCTGCCTCCTGCACTCATCCAAAGCGGGGTGCAGCGAATGCACTCTGCCACTCTGGGGTGCAGTAGAAGCACTCAGCCAAGCTTTCAGGCCGCACACAGCGGCCTGCGGAATACTATAGGCTCGACCACCAATCGGGAAAACTGAAACAAATTGAGCAATGGCCAAAACCTCGACCGAAACTTCCCATGCTTGGTCAGCTACTGATTGATGTTCAAAGTTCAACGTCAATAGTGACCAATCTCCTGCTAGTGAGTTATGGTATCATCATTCTTGGCCATTGCTTTGATTGATCTCTACCTTTTTTATACGCCAATCATATTTCTCCTCAGCTGTTAGCCCACCATGAGGAGTTTCACTTCGCCATCTCTCACTGCTTTAGCCGCATTGGGCCAGATGCGAACCTCAGCACAACTCGTCTTCATGACTTGGTGCCTCATCCCATTTAGGAAGCGAGTTATAACCTCACCAAAAAAAGTAGGGGAAGTAGGGTTCGTCCAGTTGTAACTGGGATTACAACCCACTTCCTAACTGGGATGCACCAAGTATGGGCACATCTCAACAGTACACCGCGCCACAGCGAACCACGACCAAGGCCGGGGACCTTGGTCTCAGTGCCATCCTCCAGGCCGGTGGGAACTCGGAGAGTTCGCAGAAGCCAAAAATGTTCTCCTGCGCTGTGGGGGAAATCCCCTACCTCTGCCGGTTGAGGAACGGTGTTTCTCTACTGAAATGGCGACAATTGGGGTCTATCCCCCATTTTCAGACACGCTGTTGATGATGTAAATGCTACCGAAGCCAAGTTCAAGACTGTGCTGCCAGTCATGCAACTTAAGACCTTGATGAAGTTCATAACAATTTAGTTGGGACTCAGACATGAGCAGAACTTATGATGTTCACTCCAATGAAGCGTCCTAAGTTATTCATCGATACCACTTCATTGATGGAAACGTCGAAGATGCTTCTTTCGACGCCTTTATCGCCTATCCGGGCTTGTAGCTCAGAGAGGCTCGGCAGGTTGGCTCTACAAGAGCCAAATTTGACATTCCAAACAGCCAAAAAAATGCCAGGAAATAGGAAAAACTGAAACACGTCTTTTGGCACGCTACAAAAATCTGTGGACCTCTGGTTGACATATTAACTCTTGACCCATGTACACTTCAGAAAAGAAGCTGAGATAAGTGCAGCATTGTAGCATCCAAATCTGGTCCGCAACAGCAACTGCCAGCGCCTTTCGTAGTGGATTTTACCTCCACGAAAGTAAACTCCTCCACTTGTCCTGGCTGTGCTGCCACGTCTTCATGCATAGCTGATGACTCATAGCTGATAGTAGCTGCCACATTTACAACTGTTAAGGATCCCTTACTGTGATATGATAATTGATATCATAACTGATATGTAAGGGATATGACAATGGATGGTCCATTACTTGATTCCCTAGTGATATGATTGTCATCACCGATTCCCACTATCAAACTGCAATGCAACCGCGGTCCTTCTTCGACTTTGCTGGCAAGTTCTTCGACTTGTGATTTGTCGACAGCTCCATTCACCAGAAGCGACGAGAAGTCACCAGTCTTCCCTCGGACGAAAAGAACACTTTTGACAGGTAGCGGTCCGACGAAGTGATGTATAGTTCAACTATGTTCAACTGATGAACCATTAATTATAGTTGAACTATTAATTATAGTTCAATCATCAACTATAATCAACTTTAATCAACTGGGTAAAATGACAACAAACTCTTTACCCATCTTTGAAATAAGCCAGGACGTGGCTGGTTTTCAGGGTGCAATTGCTGCAGCTAAGAGTCGAATTAGCAAATCGAACGGCAAACCAAGTTCCTCCTGCAAGAGAAACACCAGGTGCTTGGCTTTGTCCAGAAATAATATAATAATGGATTATATGTAATATATAGATATATATACTATATAATTATATATATATAATTATATAATATATATATATATAATTATTACATGTTACATAATCTACTGTATGTATATGCTACATTTGATAGCCGTTTTGATATTATATATACGGGGGAATATAAACGATGATGAACAATCGGATTTCCGCTACCCTACTTTCGGACAAACCCACTTCGAACAGTCACAGTTCAGTTCTGACGTCCCAAAAGCTGGCTCCTTTTCATTCAGCCACAGAACCTGTCGCAATGGCCATGTGAAAACACACAACTCGCCAAGAATTCTAGAGAATCCATGAGAATCCTGGGCCTGATAGCCTTCACTTTCCAAGGAAAGCTGCGCGATCTTCTCTCCATTTCTTCCAACCACTTGGGCATTGCCTTGGGCGATTGGCATCCAGGACACATCCCGCACCTTCCCTCCGCAGAAAATCAGGCCATTGGATCAAAAAGCTGGCACCAAAAAAACTGGACCCTGCGGTGTTGCCTCCCAAATTTTCCCTGCTAAGCCCAAGCAACTCTCTCCACCTCCAGTAGAGATGGGAGTGAAATCCCTCATGGTAAAGGTGATGTCGAAGGAGGAACTCTGCCCAGTGGTTACTGGAGCCGCACAAAACCTCGCAAGCCTCTGCGCGACGTGATGAGGAGCCTGACCTCTTGGGCGGTTTATCTGTTCATTTTGATGTCCAAAAATGGAGGATACAGCTGACACCAGTGGTTTGGCATGCTAAGTGGTACCATGAAATAGTGGATATCCATGTTACCATATTGATGTTATGGACCACCAATGTTGGATATCCAATTGTCAATGTAGCCACTGCATAATGCTACAAAAAGTTCTTGGATCCCTGCCTTGTGAAGGAATATGGTCTTGGGGATGCTATTTGCTGCCTTTGGGCTTGAACGATTCGACTTACCGTCTCCGAATCCTGTCAAGCACTGCACGGTTGATCATCCGACTAAGCAGAGGCAAGGTATGTGCTGAAGTCCAACTTTCAACACTTTCAAGCACTCTTCAATCACCCCTCTTCAATCACCTCGACTTCCTCTTCCTGTTGAAGATTCTTCCTGGGTGCACGGGCGTCTCTGAAATCCTTAGTTGCTGCACACTCAAAGGGCGGCAAGATGCGGCAAGCCAATGCAAACACTGACAGCACTGCAACTACCCAGCCACAGTTGTAATCCAGGCCTAGACACTCTGGTGCCAGATTCTGTCCAAGTGTCCTGTGGGTCCAACTAGACAGTGGGTTCATGATATTGCCAAAGAAGAACCAGAGTGAGCACGGAGGCTGCTGGCAGAACTCGCGTCCTCGTCCCTCTTTCCAACTGCTTGCTTTGCATCTGAAGAGCCTTCTGTGTTCGAAGAACCTCACAGAATTCACAGCTCAGAGCTCAGGACAGCCCCAATTGGCTTCCATCTCCAGTTTTGGAATGCACCAAACTGGGATACCATCAAGCCCTAAAAATCAATTGGCTTGGTGGTAATTTGTTACAGGAAAAGCCGCATATTCGATTGAAAAGTATCCTATGGTATCCTATGGTATCCTCCAGATTTTCCGTGCCATCCCATTCCACCCTGGCGCCTCCACCCCCAGCTCCACGACGGCTCGCCCCGTCGCCGCTGAGCGGCTCGGCGGCCACGTCGTACGGCAGGTTGGGCGACAGCACGTCGGACGCATCGCTGGTACCAGCGCCGGATGCATCCGGCGGGGCGCTGGGTGGCACCTGCTGAATGGTCCAAGGGCGATGCGCCAGAAGTTATGGCTACTGCCATAGAAAATGATGCTTCAACAGGCTTTAATACTGATAATTTATGCCACTAGTAAGGATGGTTGAAGTATGGAACTATTGTAATACTATTGTGGTATTGAAAGTCCATCGGTCATGCAAATGCTCAATGGTACTTCAATACCAATGGTGGCCTTGGGCGAAGAGCCAGGTTTCTCCTGGTCCAGCCTCGCACACAGAATTTTTGCTACAGCCATGATGGGATCTACGGCTTGCTATGGGAAAACCCTTTCTTCCCGGGTGAACAAGAAAATAGCTGATAAATGCATGCTGACTGATCCCCACAAAATATGGTATACATAGTCGGTTTTGATCCACCTAGAACCATTCTCGGACTGTCCGATCTCTGACGGCACTAGGTTTCAGGCTCCTTTTTGCTCGTTCGACGCTTTCGCTTATAGTTTAGCCTGCACGCTCACCAGGAACGCTGGAGCAATCTCCCTGCTGTTCTAAACTGAACTTGACAAAGGGACCGGCAATTCCCGTGCTTCGGAGGAGTGCAGGCAAGCAGCGCATTCTCCGCGTGCTCCAGCAAGTCTTCTACGGCTGGACTGTCAACTTCATCGAGATCCGCTGTTTCCTCTAGGCCACCTCCCCAGGATGCGTAGTAGTCTTCATCCTGCAAGCATTCACTGAAGGATCACCACACCAGTCTCCAAGGATGCACGTTCACGGAGAGCCATGCATCGAAAGATCGAGTCCTTCATGTCCTTGAATTCCTCTTGAAGCATTAGGAACCTAAGGATTTCTGAGCCCAAAGTATCTGACACGTCTGGTATCTGACATGTCTGGTGCATCAAGGGCCCATCAAGGGGCCTTGAATTTTCCATGATTTCGCTGCAGCTCAAGTAGCTTTTCCATGTTTTCCATGTCAAGCCCTGGGTCATCCTCCGACTGATCAGCTTTCAGGGCAGGGCTTTGATCCTGCAGAAGCGGTCACTTTTCTAAGCTGCAGATAGTCACCAAAAAGGGTGCAACTGAAGTGACAAGCTTGGTGCTTGAAGGGTCCTTAAGTAGTTCTGTTCTGACATGTATATGATATATATATATATATGATATATATATGATATATATTATATAGTCATTGGTATATCACCACTGGTCACTGCTTATATCCCTACTGATTAGGTATTGAATGTTCGTAAATTCCCATTTTTCTTCATCTGAAAAAATCCTAAATTTCCCCTGACCCAGCTACCAAATCTGGCACTGAGTCATGTTGCCCCCACTCTCCAAGCCGCGGGACGTCCTCCTGGCTTTCCCCTGCGCTTTCCTCGTGCGAAAGCTCCAAAAACTCAGACGCTGCGGAGCCTCCGGGATCGGTAACCACCATGAAAACTTGGTCAACCCCCCTATCTCCCCATGGATTATCCCCATGGATCCCCAAACACCATAAGTTTCAATCGTAAAATCGGAACTTATGATGATTTGGAACTACCCCATACTACCCCCATTTTTGGACACCTCCATGTGGATATCTTCCAATATTAAAGCCCACGGCCCGCCTCTTGAAGCCCTGGTCGTTTCGATTGCCACCCGGAGATGCTTCATGAAGGTTCTGGCTTTGTCTGTCAAGCCTGTTTTGCCTCAAATGGGGGTTGTCCAACAAGGGATGGATTTACACCCACTAGTCATGGTTTTGGAATGTTGTGGACAAACCTAAAATGACCTTTACAGAAAGCTTAAAGGCCAACTGGAAAGCGTGCGCAAGCCTGTCCAAAGCTCATTCTGATGGTACCAAACTATTCTCTTAGCCAAAGCGGCTCTGCTGAAACTCCGTCTGATACTCGGGCGCAAGTTTCTGTAGCGAAGTCCAAATCACAGCCTAGACAGTCACGAGCCACTAGAACCGCCAGGCTATCCTCTCCGTCCTCCCCAACTCCAAAAACACAGCAGGCCAAGAAATAGGAAATGTGCAGATCACCCCCAGACCTTGGACAAATTCTCACTGACATCTTTCATCACCAGCTGACCCTGGAAGGTGAGGACCAACTTCCTGTCCTCGGCACAGTTGTGACCCAACCAAGTCGTTGAGTCGTGACAGAACCCACCTCTTGGCCAATGAAAAAGACTTCCGCAGGGAGGGCCTTGATCCTGGACAGAGCTTCTGTTTGAAAAAAGTTGGGGACCCAAAATCATCCAAAGACATCAAAAGACAACCATCAAAAATCATTGAAAATGCATCAAAACATGGCCTGGCGATGGGCGTGGCACGGCCACTTGTAGGCTTGAACTCCAGCAACCTTGGAATCATGGACCCAAGATGCATGGGTCGACCCGGCTTCTTCCATGGTTTTCCCATGGTTTTTGCATGATTTTCCCTGGTTTATACCATTTTCAGACCAATCCTTTGACTTCACTCCTGCCCAAGGCTGGGCTCCGGGCCAACGAGGCACACCTTCATCAGCATCCAATGTGTCGATTTCAGCTTCTGCGGCCCGGTCTTTTTCTATGACCAAGACCTCCCAGACTCAAAGTGGCTTTGTGTGAACACAGGATACCTCAGATCCTGTGGTTCCGAATCATCTTCCCTACTAAAATGGTGTATATTCAGGCGCACCCAAATCACTACTGGCAATGGGAATGGCACATTCCAGAATTCCGCACCTGGTCGACTGAGAGCTGTTGGACCTCCTCAATTTGGAGTTCCCGGACGACGGTTTCGATCTCTTCAAAAAGAGCCCTGTCCTCGTCCTGAGCGACTCAACACAAATAGCAAGCAAACATCAACCCCGGTTGGCCTGTTTGGCCCTGTGGGTGTGGAATTGCGGCGCACTGTCCAAAGCACCACAGAACCAATGCCTCACAGGCACCTTCAGCCTCTCGGACATGCCATCGCGAATAACGCGAGTTGCTTCTACCAGCTCCTTTCTCACAGAGTCGAAGTTGCCAGCACCCTGCATCCACCAAAATGGCCGCCAAGAAGCCACCCTGCTTTAGTTATACATGTCCGGCTACAACACTTTTCCCGCAGTCCATTGTTGTCCTGAAACAGCCCTAAATTGGTGGATACTTGGGTCCCCCAGTCTTGGTTATGGGCCACCAGGGATCAACTGGAGCCTGGAGAGGCACGAAGGAGGCGCGCTTCAGCAAAGTGGGCGACTCTCCTCGGTTGCTGCAATAAATGGCCGACCAATGGCCGCTCTCGTCACAAGGCTTTCATATTGCTTTGAAAAGACACCCGTTGCTAGAGATGTGAGGGTACTTTATCTAGTGCACCAATCGAAACGAACAAATACCAAAAATCTTAATCTCAGTCAGAGCTATGCAAGACTCACAATATCACTGTTTCATCACATACAAAAATATGAGTCACTTGCAATCATCATGCCAGGTATGAGGAAATACATATAAATAATGATTATGATTATGAATATCTCCTTCCATCAACCAAATCAGCAATATTTCTTTCATGCAAGCGTCTCATTCCGAGGCGTTTCATGAGCTCAACAATGCTGTGATTTGCAGCAGGATTCACACCCCGTGGTGGCCGCGCAAAAAAACGTCGGGCATCAGAAGGCCAACCTACCCAAAGACTGCTGGGTGGGTTTGGTGGTTGAGTGAAGAACGGGAGACATGGACACCTTTGACATCACAAGAACGGAAATTTCAGGGCTAGGGCTGCAAAAATCAACAAAAATCAACAGAGTGACATGGGGCCTTTGATCCTCGCTTTTTCTGCTCCTTTTCTCGAAACGATGAACTGGTACTTCTTCAGAGGCTGCCAAGACCTGATGGTGGATGGCTGGACACAAGCCTTGCCCACCACATCACAAGAATCATGGATTTGGGCATTCCACAAAATGCCAGCCACACTCATGGCAAAACCCGAATGATCCACGGCTTTCCATTCAAAACTCAGATCCAAACTCATCTGCAGCTTGAATGAAGCGCACATCAGAGAGTTCCTTCCGAATCATTTCCTAGACCGCCATGGTTGCTGCATTCAAGGATGCGGCCAGAAGCATTGGACAAAAGTCACTCTGGCTGATGATTGAATCCAACAAGATTGAAGAATACATGCCGATTGGAAGAATGATGCAGTTGAAAATTGTTGTCATGGTTCAAATATGTTCAAATCAATCCATGCATGTCCATTCCCACCATCAACACAATCCAAGTAAATTGACCACCCGCAGGCAAAAACTGCAAAGCCGAGGATCCAAAGACTCCGACTTCTCCACGGTCAATTCCTCAACAAGTTGCTTCAGGTTCACGCAAGAATCACCTATCTATCCAATTGATAAACGCTTCTACAGGCGCGATTCGTGGTTTGGGCTAATGTCCTCCTCGCTCTCATCTTGATCTTCAGTACCTTCCTGACGATGTAGCTCCTCTTCAATCTCATTCTTAACACGCAGTGCGATCCTCGTGAAGGTCCTGAGCAGAGTCATGGGAGTGTCTGGAACGAAGTCATGCAGCCAACAGCAAGACACTTTCCAAATCAGCACTTCATGAATTTCAGACTTCCAAGACAAGAGGACTGGTTTACTAGTGGGTCTGTGCTTTTCAATGTCCAAAGCACTCGTCTGTCAACTGAAGCATTTTTTGTGAAATGAAGTCAAAGCTCCCTCGACCTGATATCTTTACTTTTAAATTCTACAACGGCACAGACTTCCCACGGCAAAAATGACTTCTGTGCAAATATTCCTTGTGAACAGTCTCAGTCACAGTCAATCAAAGTATTGAGTATTGACAAATGCTAGGTATTCCTCTGCGAAAACGAGAGGCTGGCCAATGAAGTCAAGCACTTCCGAAGTCTCGCCCTTCTCAATCCTGAATCAACTGCCGCAGGCTCACAGGGATTGCAAGCTGGCACCGAAAGGCAATGCAAAGTTCCGTCAAAACAAAACATACGATACGTGCGAACCAGAGGCCGTTGATCGATGGCCTTGTAAACACGAACGTAATCTGACACATCCAGCTCCTCCTGACTAGATTTAGCATCTGACACGCGCACAGACTGAAGAACAAATTGAAAACCCAGGATGTCAACGCGGCTCAGATGAAGCGCAGCAAAATGTCATGGCATGGGGTACTCTTACAAGCTTCTTGACAATGGCCTGAGGCTAGTAGAAGCAATGTTGAAGCTGGCAAGAACAATCCAACACGCCTCCAACCATCTTGTCAAATGATTGAATATGTTTAAACTGATCAGATTGCATTTGTTTCCTCAACTCCTGCGTTCACCACCAACCCATGCCCTGATATGCTGTGTCCCCGATCCTGGATGTTGTAGCGGCTCAGCAATTCATGGAGATTGGACTTGTTGTAGCGGCTCAGCAATTCATGGAGATTGGACTTGATTCCTGGAGTGTCAAAGGCTTGGGTGCGGCAGTCAGATCAGTGCTTGCAATGACATTCCACGAAAAGACCTGGGGCGAATCTAAGTCTGCTCTCATCCATGTTTCGACACACTTGCTGACATTAAAAGACCGACGTAAGACTCTGTGACGAGCATGGATACGTTGTCTGACCTAGCTGCCCTAGCCCTCCTGTTGCCCGCCTTTGTCTCTCCAGCTTGCTGGCCACAAGGTCTTTGGGCCAAAGTAATAGTTCGCCACCACTCGCTTGTCGAGGCACTGTCTCATCAAGTCAATCATGGCATCCTTGGCTCTGGCTGCGAAGCCATCCAGACACTCCGCTTTGTCGCAGAAGACCAGCCTTGCAACGGGCCACACAGGACATCACAAGGCAGTGACGATTCCTAGTGGTGAAATGTTATGAAATGTTCTTTCCTTGGGAAATGCTTTCAGCCAGAAGTCATAGATAACAAGACCTGAGAAGGGGGGAACGAAAGCCAGCATCCCATCTACCCCTATTTTCCCCCAATGATTTTTCACCCACAGACTTTTCCCCCACATACTTTTCACCCAGAGACTCTTCACCCAGAAACCCTTCTTGCACATACTTTTCACCCAGAGACTCTTCACCCAGAAACTCTTCTTTCACATATTCTTTTCACCCAAGGACTCTTCACCCAGAAACTCTTCTTGCAGATACTTTTCACCCAGAAACTCTTCACCAAGAAACTCTTCTTGCACATACTTTTCACCGAGACTCTTGACCCAGAAACTCTTCACCCAGAAACTCTTCTTGCACATACTTTTCACCCAGAGACTCTTCACCCAGAAACTCTTCTTGCACAGACTTTTCACCCAGAGACTCTTCTTCAGAAACTCTTCTTGCTCACACTTTTCACCGATATACTTTTCACCCAGAGACTCTTCCCCAGAAACTCTTCTTACACGTACTTTTAACCCATATACTTTTCACCCAGGGGCTCTTCACCCAGAAACCCTTCTTGCACAGACTTTTCGCCCATATACTTTTCACCCAGGGACTCTTCACCCAGAAACTCTTCACCCAGAAACTCTCCTTGCACATACTTTTCACCTATATACTTTTCACCCAGAGACTCTTCACCCAGAAACTCTTCTTGCACATACTTTTCACCCATATACTTTTCACCCAGAGACTCTTCACCCAGAAACTCTTCTTGCACGTACTTTTTACCCATATACTTTTCACCCAGAGACTCTTCACCCAGAAACCCTTCTTGCACATACTTTTCACCCAGAGACTCTTCACCCAGAAACTCTTCTTGCACATACTTTTAACCCATATACTTTTCACCCAGAGACTCTTCACCCAGAAACTCTTCTTGCACATACTTTTCACCCATATACTCTTCACCCAGAAACTCTTCACCCAGAAACTCTTTTTGCACATACTTTTCACCCATATACTTTTCACCCAGAGACTCTTCACCCAGAAACTCTTCTTGCACAGACTTTTCACCCAGAGACTCTTATTCAGAAACTCTTCACCCAGAAACTCTTCTTGCACATACTTTTCACCCATATACTTTTCACCCACAGACTCTTCACCCAGAAACTCTTCTTGCACGTACTTTCTACCCATATAATTTTCACCCAGAGACTCTTCACCCAGAATCTCTTCTTGCACAGGCTTTTCACCCATATACTTGTTACTCAGAAACTCTTCACCCAGAAACTCTTCTTGCACATACTTGTCACCCATATACCTTTCACCCATAAACTTTTCACCCAGAGACTCTTCTTGCACATACTTTTCACCCAGGGACTCTTCACCCAGAAACTCTTCTTGCACAGGCTTTTCACCCATACACTCTTCACCCAGAAACTCTTCCCCAGAAACTCTTCTTGCACGTACTTTTTACCCATATACTTTTCACCCAGAGACTCTTCACCCAGAAAATCTTCTTGCACATACTTTTCACTCATTTACTTTTCACCCACAGACGGATCAACCATATATTTCTCACCCACAGACTTTTCCCCCATATGCCTTTCACCCATAAACTTTTCACCCAGGGACTCTTCATCCAGAAAATCTTCCTGCACAGACTTTTCACCCAGAGACTCTTCACCCAAAAACTCTTCTTGCAGATACTTTTCACCCAGAAACTCTTCACCCAGAAACTCTTCTTTCACAGACTTTTCACCCAGAAACTCTTCACCCAGAAACTCTTCTTTCACAGACTTTTCAGCCAGAGACTCTTCACCCAGAAACTCTTCTTGCACAGACTTTTCACCCATATACTTTTCACCCAGAGACTCTTCTTGGACCTACTTTTCACCCATATACTTTTCACCCAGAGACTCTTCACCCAGAAACTCTTCTTGCAGATACTTTTCACCCATATACTTTTCACCAGGGACTCTTCACCCAGAAACTCTTCTTGCACAGACTTTTCAGCCAGAGACTCTTCACCCAGAAACTCTTCTTGCACAGACTTTTCACCCAGAATCTCTTCACCCAGAAACTCTTCTTGGACCTACTTTTCACCCATATACTTTTCACCCAGAGACTCTTCACCCAGAAACTCTTCTTGCACATACTTTTCACCCAGAGACTCTTCACCCAGAAACTCTTCTTGCACATACTTTTCACCCATAGACTCTTCACCCAGAGACTCTTCACCCAGAAACTCTTCTTGCACATACTTTTCACCCAAGGACTCTTCACCCAGAAACTCTTCTTGCAGATACTTTTCACCCATATACTTTTCACCCAGAGACTCTTCACCCAGAAACTCTTCTTGCACGTACTTTTCACCTATATACTTTTCACCCAGAGACTCTTCACCCAGAAACTCTTCTCGCACAGACTTTTCACCCATATACTTTTCACCAAGGGACTCTTCACCCAGAAACCCTTCTTGCACATACTTTTCACCCAGAGACTCTTCACCCAGAAACTCTTCTTGCACATACTTTTCACCCATTTACTTGTCACCCAGAGACTCTTCACCCAGAAACTCTTCTTGCACAGACTTTTCACCCAGAGACTCTTCACCCAGAAACTCTTCTTGCACATACTTTTCACCCATGTACTTTTCACCCAGGGCCTCTTCACCCAGAAACTCTTCTTGCACGTAATTTTGACCCAGGAACTCTTCTTGCACAGGCTTTTCACCCAGAGACTCTTCTTGCATACACTTTTCACCCATACACTCTTCACCCAGAAACTCTTCACCCAGAAACTCTTCTCGCACATACTTTTCACCCATATACTTTTCACCCAGAGACTCTTCACCCAGAAACTCTTCTTGCACATACTTTTCACTCATATACTTTTCACCCACAGACGGATCAAACTTATATTTCTAACTCACAGACTTTTCCCCCATATACCTTTCACCCAGAAACTTTTCACCCAGAGACTCTTCACCCAGAAAATCTTCTTGCACAGACTTTTCACCCAGGGACTCTTCACCCAGAAACTCTTCTTGCACATACTTTTCACCCATATACTTCTCACCCAAAGACGGATCAACCATATACTTCTCACCCACAGACTTTTCCCATATATACTTTTCACCCATATACTTTTCACCCAGAGCCCCCCCCAGACCCCCTATTTTCACTTCGTTCGCAAACAACAACTGGCCAGCTTCCCGGCCGGCTTTCGTAATATATATATATATATTTATATATATATATAAATAGCCCGGCCTGAATTGTCAGGAATGCTCTACATTCTGCTTCACAGGCCATTATGTACCTCCTCCACGGTACTTTTGGTGGTTAATTTTTGTGACAGCTGCTATGTCTACGCCTTCAAACCTCGCATTATGCGCTAGCCCTCCTTCCTCCTTCACACAAACACCTTCCCATCTGACATCACAGTGCCCGACAAAGACCCTCGAGCCGGGCGACTTTTGTCCTTCCTCCACCAACATCGACAGCAGTGGCAAAAGGCGCCTTTACCCTTACCTTTCCTATCTGTGCTAGCACTCCTTCCCCCTTCTCACAGACATCGGCTCCTCTGCCAAGCACCCCAAAAGGCTCCCCAAAATGCGGACCTAGGGGGAATCAATACCCTACCGTCACCCTTTTGCCGCATGGTACATGACCCGGAAAAACGCTCCCAAAACACACCCTTCCCCCCAAGTAATAGCGAGATTTTGGCGGACTTGGGCAAGCCCTCCCCCCAGACCCCCTTATACTCACTTTGTTCGCAGACAGCAACGATCCAGCTAGCTGGCTTTCGTAACATACGGCTTTTTCGAAAGCCCAAATCCTTCGCACTTCAAATGTGACCAGCCGAGATGCTGTTTCAGGCCATAGAATTTTCCGGTGTGCTCCATCTTCGGACAACTGTGGAACCATCCGGTAAAATCCCTGTGGGGCCTGACAATGCCAAGACTCACTTTCTTGTTACCCCGTTGATTTGAAGGTCCGCAAGTACTAAACTAAACCCCATATGTACAGTCAGAGTGGCAGAAGACACTGATTATCTCCGAGAAACATGACGAAAGCAGGGGCAAAAGCTTGGCAAACATCCAGAGCAACAGCCAGAACCACGCCTTGGGTGATTAGGTATAAATACCCATTGCTCCTCTTCGATGAATCTATCCTCGCAAGAGCAGGCCAAAACACCACCAACCCCTATCACTCGGCTCTCTTGTTTCGCCAAATCTTCACCAGCCACAAAGCGAATCACTAAAAAGTCTTGGCTCAGAATCAGCCATCGCAGCCAGAAGGCGCTCCCCAAATGCCAAGGATCCAGGTTTTTCTGGCCAAAGATTTTGTTGAAAAGTGTGCCACCGCTGCCACCGCCTTGATTTCCACTCGGATCCTGCCTGCCAGGACTGCCCATTCGGCTGTACAGCGAGGCCATCTCTGGAATCTTCAAGCGTAGCTTGTCCTCGACCAGGTACCGTATCTCGAAACACAAAGCTCACAAGCAGTGGAATCACTTGGTGATCTGAAAATGAATAGAAATATATAGAAATGAAATATAATAATATAATACATGTTTCCACGATGTTCCGTTGCTTTCGATTACTTTCCCTTTTCCCTTCAGCTTGTCCTTGGACCGTAGGCACTCCACAATAGCAATCAGCGTCGCAGCTGAAGGAGAAGATTCCACACCCAAAGCAGGCCATGCCTGACGAATTTCACCATCTGACCGTGCTGTAAGAAAATCTACAAGAAACCATGAAATTCAGTTGGATCCCAGGATATTCCCATTATAAACCATGAATAATCCTATTGACAATCCATTATCCCGTGAATAATCCCCTTAAAACTGATGACAGGTGGCACGGTAGCACTTTCATGTTGCCATCCGTTGCATCAGCAATGAACACAGCAAACATCTGCCCCACTGCCTGTGCAAAGGGAGATACGCACGCATCGAAATGGAACCGTGCTTCTACGCTCTTCGGCTTCTCTGGTGGAAGCCAGGCGAGATTCATAGGTACAACTTCTCCTCCCTGGGTTGGAAGCCTTAGGAATCTAAGGAGCACAGAGAATGGCGCTCTGCTCAATTCCCAAAGATGCCCCGAGCGCTGTCAAATGGAGTCAAGTGGCCAGGGTTTGGTGCACAGGAGCTGGGCAATTTCAGATGGCTCATCTTGGCCTTGGGGTGACTTGACATGAAAGCCATTAAACTCCTCAATGTCACGGAACTGTGCAGCTGTCATGGATCCAAAAAAAGCAAACCCGAAAATGGCTGGTTTCATGCTTGGACTGAACAAACAATCTGCAGATTGCGCTCAACACATTGTGATCATTGTGCACCCCACACCCATGCAGCTTCATGCACTACATGCAGCCCAGCGTCTATCAGGTTTGAAGAGCCACTGCGCATAGTATTCACCATGGGGCTCCAAAACTTCGACCACCTCCATCGCCAGATCTGGAGTGCTTGCAGCAGCAAGCAACCTGCGATCGACAAGACTGGAAGCTTCTGGAAGCTGCAAGTCACTCACGTCGTCTACGCTTCAAACTTGGATAGCCCTGAATTTATCTGAATATTCAAGAATGATCAAACACTGTGGCAAGGCTCTTTTAAAATTTGACCGCCTATTCCCATCTCCAATCGCCTCTCCAATTCGTCGCTGTGAAAGTCTCCTTGCCGCTCTTGTACTTGAAACACCGGAGCAGCTCCCAGCAGCATCCAAAATGCGTTCCAGTCCGCCTCCGAGTCTGGAAACAGCTATAGATGGAAAAGTCTTGTTCCCAGCAAAAAAATGTGAAGATTTCTACACCCGCCTCACTCTCCTCACTCTCCTCACTGTTCTTGTATGTGGATGCCGGAGCTAACCAGTCCTGAGGTCCCATCTCATTGACAGGACCGCTTCAATCATCAAAGCAGCAATATCCCCTCTTTGAATTTGTCCAAAACTGGGGTATACTGCGGTATACTGCAAAAAATCCACTTCGGGGAAATGATGTTCCAAACCACTGGATTTTGTCGGTTTTGCCAACATTTTCAGACAACTCCAAGTGAAGCCAAAGGGCAACGCCCACTTGATCTGCGAGTTTGCCAGGGAGTGGGCTCACATGAAGCCCCCGCCCAGTCTTTCCGCCCACCTGGCAGAGTCCGCTGATGAGATGAACAGCACTGCAGCACTGCAGGTCCAAATTCAGTCCCCAAGAATGGCCTGAACGGCCTCGCAGTCGGAGGTGCCAACAGAAGCCAGAACCTGAAGGTTCAGAGGTTTTGCGCGTGACAACTTAGATCCTCTTTTTTATGGGTTTTAGATATAGACCCAATATTGGCCCAACATGCGTACTATACCCTCAAAAAAATTGGGTCAACATCCTAGAATTCCCCGTTCAAGTTGGTTAAATCGAAAAAAATCAGTTGTTGGAAAGGCATAGCCAGGTCACCCACCACCCTGCATCGCTCGCCCTGAGCGTTTCGATCAGGGAATCCTCCGCAGCTGCGCAAGCTGGCAGAGTAGGGGATGTCCATGCAACCATTTAGGGGTTTGTCGGTGTGTCTAAAATGGGGGGATAATCCAAAATGGCCGTTATGAAAGGGACATGATGATAAATCATCAATTTTTTAGGGTACCATTTGGACAAACCCATTTTGAAGCAGTCTAAACTGATCATCCATTGGTTTTCGGACCCTATCTATTTTTCAGCCCATTCAATCAAGATGTGTACAAGTATTGCGAGTCCATAAATGGCTATTTTTATCTATTTGACATTATTTGACCATAAATTTATGCCCATTCTCTCTTGTATGCGAGTCGTTTCTAGTCCTTCTTCTCTTGGTCCTCGCAAATGGCAAGCAAATCTTTGAATTGCCTGACAGATCTGCCAGTGCAAAGAGGGTTCCGGAGATCCGTCCCAGCTGCAGTCGGTAGTCTTATCACCGTGGCCTTTCAACACATTTCAAACCTCTAAACCTGTGGGAGAGCTGGCAGAAACATATCAAGGAATAAGCTTGCCTGACAATAAACCAAGTGTGTCAATAGTATTCAATAGTCTCACTTGATGTGAATGATACTTTTCGTTCTAGATTTTGTTATAGTAGTGATGGCATCATGGCTCTGCTAACTGTCTGCATTCATGGCATATGGAGTGCCTTGTTGCTAGGAGCAGCTTCTCTGCTTCGGGCGCCTCGCCTCGGCCATGTCGTGGACAAAATAGAAAGCTGGGGCTCATGGATCTGATACCTTGTGAAAGCCATATTGGAATGGTATAGATCTAACTGATCTAACATGTTGGAGGTGCAAAATCTGCAGTTTCAGAATATGCCAGATCTTGTGGCCCTGAAATCATTCGGGTTTCCCAGTTTCTCAACATCTTCTGTTTCTGGCTCAAAGTTAGCACGTGGGACCACCAATGTTTCTGTTTATTCATGTTGATTAACCATCCAATTTTATGGGTAACCGTATTTTGTTTGACTCATTGGCAGATTTGCGTTACGACCTGTTGATCCTGTTGGAGATCTTCTGGTTGTTCAGTGCTCTCTCTTGCCCAAGGACTACTGGTGAGCACCGGCAGGAGCACATTTGTGAAGAAGGCCAGCCCATCCACCTGCTCCACTCCGAGTCCCAGTAGGAATTCTCGAACCTCTGGTCGAGCCGTTTGAGTCAAGCGAGGATCCAAGCGCTGCCCCGCACCCAACAAGGCTTCAATACCCAGCATGTCGGGTGGCACGTCGTAGACTTTGAAACCTCTGGCCTGGTGAAAGCCCAATCACTCTGGGTTTGGGTCGGGCCAGTCACTTCTAGCGTTGATCATCCAATCTTTGGGACATACCCTAAAGGCCTAAATGTTCATCCAAAGCAAATGGTCGGAGATTCAGTGTGGCCTTCCCACCATGGAGTTGAGCAGGAAAAAAAACTTTACCCCAAGCAGTCGTTCACACATGGGAGAGGATGCACATCATGAAGTGTGTCGGCCTCCTCAGCAGTCAGTGACACCAACTCGCCACCCTCTGTCGGAATGATCTGCAGATAGCGCACATCATCAGCCAATTGTGGTTTCTTCAGAGCTGCCACGGCCACAATCAGCAGCAATAGTTGCAGCACCTCAATATCCTTAGATGTTGAGACCACTTGTTTCCAAGGTCAATGCTATCTGCCTGCTGCTCAAATGTTGGAATATCTTGGAATACCAAAGAGATCTTGGCAAAACAGAAAGCCCCATCGCCAAACGGTGGATTGCTGGATGAGAAGCTTCATCAGTCAGGGCGTTCAGCTGGTCATTGGCAACTTTCTGCATGTGCAGTCGTCCCATTGCCTGGCAAGCAGAAGCCGTCCGCGGTATCACTCCAGGACCCCGATAGGTTTTACAGCAACTCAGAGCCTGCAGGCAATCCAAAGCGATGTCAGCGTCCAGAACCTGATTGACAGGTCAAGACCGCCATCCAAAACCGAAGGGAATGGAATGGATCAGATTCTATTCCAACATGTGTTCTTGTCATGGTCATTCCACTTCTACGAGGAATTCCCAGGTACCTACTATAACAACCAGTAGTTCAAACCACCCAAAAGAAATGTGGATGACCAGACTCCCCTCAGGCATCGGAGGATGGCCAATCACCAGAGGCATCTTTCACAACCAGCTTTCGACCGAGCAGCAGGAACCCTCAGTCCTTCAGCAGCGCGGGCTGGCATGCCACCCACTTCCACATAGCGATCAGCCTGCAATTTTGAGCGACACAATTTGTGACTAATGCCATCGATGCTAATGCCATACTAATGCCATCTAATATCATCTAATGCCTATGCTTGATACATCTTGATACAATTTTGCCGCAACGGCCTACGTTTGCATCTGGGGGCCCGTTCAGATAAGTCTGCAAGCCCATGCACATCCCAGAGCCGCAAAGCAATTTGATATCTGAATCTCTACCAAGAACTGACTGTAGCACTGCAGCAATGATAATTACCGGATATGGGTATGGATCAATACCTATACATACCATTTTTAGGGGATGAACATCCATTTACCAGCTATTTTGATGTTCACCAGGGGGATAGGGTTTTGACCCAATTACCGGATATCAAAAGAGCAGAACCTCCGACTCTTCCTGCCATGACAAGCCTGTGCTAGCAGCAACTCGATGCTCTGCTGCAGGTGCGACAAGCTGGCCTGGTCCCAAGTGGTAAACATCCCTCCAAACCACAACAAAAAGCTGGCAAGCGGCTGTTTTTACCATAAATTCTAACGGAATCACTACAGAATGTGGCTAGACCACACCTATTGCATGGCGCAGTTTGACTTAGTTGTTCTTTCCAACTAAACATGGAGCAACGGAACGGAACAAGGAAATACTGTAGCCAGTCACCAGCAGCCATGAAAAAAAAAAGGTAGAGGCCATGGTCGCCATGGTGCTGGAACTCCTTCCGGAAGTTCCGCACGCACAGCACGCCGCGGTGTGACTAGTTCCAAACGCCATGCGGTCTCCTGAAGTGACGATGAATCACTGGGCAGGTGGGTCGAGGGTCGAAGATGTCGCAGAAATGGGGACCTCCCACCCAAACCCATGGATTTTATCAGTATCAACATTGCAAAAAAAAAGTGGGACATCCACAACTGGACTCTCTGTGCTGAACTTTCTCTCACTTGAATGTGTTTGGGATCCGCGTTCGGGATCCACGTTTGCGTATGAAAGTCCTGATCATGCACGTCTTCACTGCCACCCTCGGAACCAGACTCCTTGACTCCTGCGAAATGGGTCGGTCACATCCAACAGACACCAGCAGAACAAGTGGACATCCAAACCATGGAAACCATGAAAAACCCATGAAAAAACCATGAAAAACCATGTGATTTGCCTGGACACGGAACTCGCACCAGAATCACGGCAACATCCATCACTGCCCGAAGAATCTTCACATCTGTCTCTTGGAAGAAGTCTGTTGCATCGCCTGCGGGCAGTTTGCCCAGTCACCCAGCTATGGTTGCAGTAGTTTCACAACACAACTTGTTTCACAACACAGCTATGCTGGCTATGCTGCACTTGGACTTGATCCACCAAGGTCAAAAATCAATGAAATAGATCAGGTGCCATCCCATGAACAAGTTACCCAAAAATGGCCTGGTCGGGGTATCGAGGTATAGAGAGGCACCAGCACGTTGCGAGCAGCTTCGATGCCAGCTTCAAGCTGATTCCAAGCCGTTCCTCACAACCACGGTCTAGTGACACTGCAGTTTAACTCATCACCTCCAAAAACAGCCCACCGAGCAACTGCACAAGTCCCCAAAACCTGGTGGTGGAGCTCCATCTCCCACCCAAATCTCATCCCATATCAGATGCTCTGGGGTTAACCGGTTAACCTGTCAGCGCACAAAATGAATGTCGATTGAGGCCAGAGCCTGACTCGTTTGGAGCGTCCAATCCAGCAGCTTTCAAGGCAGCTGCTGCAAAGATCTTGGCCGCTTCTGCGTATGCATTTGGGACTTGGTCTCGGATTCGCCTGAGCAGCTCGGAGTTTCTACAAAGAGGGCTCAAATATTTTGGTAAGTACAATATGTACACGGTGCCTATATGTATCAATCACAGACATATACAGTAGGGACCATCATAGAAGTACATGGAAGCCCTTAAATCTTTCATTGTCATTTCATCACGACTGTTTCTGTCACCGGTTTTCGTCCAGGTGCTGGTTGAAGACAGCCTCCGTAATGGCTTCCCGGGAGGATGGGACCCTCCAATCCGCTTGGATCAGAAAGCGAAGGCCATAGGATCGCAGTGGCAGCCAGGCGTAGGCTTGCTCCACTCCTCGTCGGCTCAGGTCGATGCTCCCCGAAACCAACTGGGTTTCTCCGAAAGTTGCGGGGGAAAACACCCTAAATCAATGGATTTTGATCATTTCAGTCACATCAAAACTGGGATCCTTTTCAAGCAAAGAACCAGATTCGACTGGGTTCACTCCTCTCAGTTTCAGTACGGACTGGACATTTTTGATGTATGAAGATGGAAGGGGCTAAGTCAGATTGAGATCCCTCTAAAACAGGATATTCCGCTGGACACAGCAGGGATCAGGATTCCCCAGCCAGGCCTGCTGGCTTGTCCAGTCGGAAGGCCAGCTTCCTGAGGCTACATGTGGATGGACTTGGGTTTCTCCTCAAGCATCTCCGGATGTCAAAAAGAACACTAGTAACAGTATCAGTATAAGTATAAGTATCACTCTTCTTTCGCCCGTCATTTCTTTGAAGTTGCCCGGTGGCGTTTCCACGCCAGAGTTCCTACGACTGGCCAGTCAAACAAAAAATGGGGCCTAAAGGCTTCTCGGTTTTCAAGGGCCAGGCCAAATAAAATTGGAAAATGCAAGCTGCGGGAAAAACGTAGTAGGGCCGGGGGGGCCAAAAGCTTGCGGACAAATGACTCAAACAATGCAAGTGATACAAGACATCACTCTTCTTTCGCCCGTCATTTCTTTGAAGTTGCCCGGTGGCGTTTCCACGCCAGAGTTCCTACGACTGGCCAGTCAAACAAAAAATGGGGCCTAAAGGCTTCTCGGTTTTCAAGGGCCAGGCCAAATAAAATTGGAAAATGCAAGCTGCTTCCATCTCTGTTCTTCTGCACTGCAAATCAAGAAATTAGGTAACGCCAGCGGGAATCTTCTCAGGATATAAACTCAAAAGCACAGTCATGCAATGCGGCTCCAGAAAAGACACTAAGCTTCGGGCATGGGGAGACAACTGGTGTAAGAAGAGCTGAGCTGCTACTTCTTGAACAAAGAACTCTAAGGTCTTTGTTCTAGCCCAGGGCCCACGCCATGTTAGCTTGGGTATGTCTTCAGTGTCGATATACTGTTGAGTAGCACCAGACCCACGCAAAACCCCCGGTGTAGCACCTCTGCTAGTTTGACGCCGGGGTATGTGCATGAAATCCATCAACAAATTCCACTGCCGTCTGAATACGGCCATGCTCGCATCAAGCAACTTGCTTTGCAAAGGAAGGCTGCCAAAGAAACATCTCACCAGCAAAATCACTGCGGGGTCGTCAATCTTTGCATGTGGCCGCCTGGCAAAGCGGGCTGTCTTTGGATTACGGACGTGGATGTACATCACCTGCTCACGCAAAAGTGCATCCTCTAGAAGAACCACATCGTGGCGCACCATCTGTATGAACTCGTTGGGGTGTAACATCCCTGCAAAGCCAATGCTGATAACACCAACAAAATGTTGCCACCCCCAAAGCAGCCCAAGGCAAAGCAAGGCTCGAATAATGGGAGCAGACAGGACAGCATGACACTGTCCCGGCTGTTCCAACTGCCAAACCCTGTCCACATGCCAGGCGCCTCCAAGCAAAGATCTAAACTCCGATCTAAACCTTTGGATTGCAGTAATTGTGTACACAAGTTGATAGCGAGGGCGTCCAGCTGCATATAGCATGCGCCCATAGGCCCTGAGACTCAGGTTGCACATCTCAGGACTCTCAAACGCTTGATCATGTGACATGCCTAGCTCCCGCTGGAGCCACTCATTAAACTGGCAAAAACAGCTCTGCATTCGCTGGGTGGTGGCGCGCGAAAGCCCGCCAAACAGGTCCAGCTCTCCACGGGGATGGTAGGCCCTAGAAGCAGGCCCTGGATTTCGTTCCACATCTCCAGCTATCAACAGCAGTAACCTGACCCAGCGCCCTACAGGTCGGGTCCACTTGGACGTTTCCAGCATCAACTCAAAGGGGCGTAGCTCACCCCTTTGTAAAGCCAGAATCCAGCTAGCAGGCTTGGCAGTGGGAGGCTCTATGTCGCGCCCACGACTTGGGCCATCAGCTCTGTTCCAAGCCGACCTGACATGCAAACAACCGGGATAGAGTCCTCCTCCAAGAACACAGCCTAAAGCGCTGCGCAGCACCCGAGACAAGGCTCTACTGCTGCTGCGCCCCTTGGCTGCGGCTCCCATGGTGACACGGCTGTCTAACAGCCCAAGCAGCCTATGCCCTCCCCAACGTTTCGCACTATGCTTCAACCATGACTTATAGACTCTGCATTCCAGCACGTTGATATGGCCACCTTTCTTGAAGCGGTATCTGAACAGCTCTTTGTACTGCAACGTCTCGCACAAATCTGCCACCCAGTCCGGATCTTCGAACCATGCGCGCAGAATGCTGCGGTCTGAAGCCCTGGTTACCAAAGTAGGCCTCTGCAGCAAGCGCACCTTACGTTGGTGCAGAGTCTCATCCGCAGCGAAGCGGCGATGGGCGGCCACACTGCCCATAGCCATTTTCTCACAAAGGGGTATGGGATAAGCGGCAGAAAAAGAACTAAGTGCTTCACCCACTCGAGGCTCTTTGCCGTAGACGGCTCGGCAGCTAGGGTTGCAGCGCCGATCAAACTCCGAAATACCTGCACGAGTGAAGCTGCCCTCAATGACAAAATGCTGGTTTTTGAATGCACATGTACACCTGCTCTCCAGGCTCAAAAGCCATGGTTTGTTGTGAAGCCACTTGGATGGCTTCATAAATCCACTGCCGAATGAACAAAAGGGGAACTTTGTGATAATGCATCCCAGAGATAACAACACACGGAAAATGTGCAACTCGAACATCACTGAACTGCCAGGTTGTTCCACCGAAATAAAACAGCCTGCAGAAAGCGCCAGCATCAAAATAAACGCGGTGCGAATAGCCAGTCTGGTCTGTTCCCAGGTCAGCTCATCCAGCATATCAAAGCCGGCAGGTTGAGATTTGCTCCTGAGACGGGGTCTTCGCAGCGTCCCAAATGACCAACAAGGAGGAGCTGCATGCCACTCCTTCACCTTCCCTTCAGCTGCTAAGTAGGCCAACTCAAGAAAGGTCTTTTTATCACTAAGGTCCCCAAAACGAACCCCTTGGGCATTTCTTTCAACACCTGGATGAACATGAAGACCCACCTCAGCATGGCAGCGGCTCCAATTCGCCTGGCCGGCGAACAACTCGATGCAGTAGTAGGCTGCTCGCTCCACGTCTTCACCTGCAGCAGATAAATTCAAAACCGCAGTGGATCCAAACTCAGATAGGTCAGGATCAACATGGCCAAACGTCTCCGTGTGATCCAAACCCAATTCATGTAAAACCAGATTGGCACCGGACTGAAGCTGAGTGTAATATCCCCGCTGTTCAGTGTGCCTCCAGATCTCCTCAACCGCCACATGGCCCAAAAAATGCCGGCAAATCGCACCGCCACTCGGCGAAGCATCCATCATGAACACTTCAGGACAGATACTGGTACGCAAATCAGTCTGAAACAGTGGCCCCAATATCATGAGGTTGATCAGCTCGTTGATGCTCTGTCGCGACAAAGTAAACGGCTCATCCATGTGTATGTCAACCCCTTCATGAAAAACAGATTCCAAAACGGAAAACCCCACTCTGCGAAAAAGTAACACGTGAACCCAGGTGCCAATGATGCTTTGCAAAATGCGCCGAGTGGTCCGTTGCTTTTGAACCACGATGGCCGTCACAAACATCAGCATAGCAACTCGACTCCGAGGAGCGGAAACGCGCCCCAAAACCCCGTCAACTTCAGCACCCAAAACTGTTGCACTAGCAGCCTGCCGCTGTCTTTTGCCCGGATGGGATGTAAGACCCACCTGCTGGTAAGCCATGTCCGAGTTCGCAAAGACCTCTTTGTCCCGCGTCTGTTGGTCGCTCAGGGGAATCAGTTTGGATACCTTTTGAAGACCAATGTGATCATCAATAGTCAACAGTTCATAGAAGGGCCCACGTGGGATGGGTTGCCTGTAGGCTATGATTTCATGCTCCAACAGACAGCCAGCTAACTGACGCAACAAGTTGAAGTGGCTCTGCTGCGCAATCTCAACTGCAAGCCCATCGCCCATTGCCAACGTGCCCAAACAGATGTATAACTTCTGCCCAGCAAACTTGGGATCAAAACAGTTAAGATGACAAACTTCGGAACTATCGAAAACCATCCCAATAGCATTGCGTGCGGCCCTATCTTCAGAAACTTTGAAAGTGTAGTAAAACTCACACAAATCATCTGAAGAAATAACCAGGTTCTCATGAGCTTCAAGCCGCAGCAGGCAAATCAGGGCTCCGGGTGCCAGAGTCTTGGTGAAGTTGGTATAGGAAAGCTGCCGACTGTTGATAACAGTGGGGTTCACAATCAGCCTGTCAAATTGTTGATCCTTACTAACTGCAAACATCCCGACGGCTTCATCACGCCGAATGCTATCACATGTCACCAGTCGGCACGCTCCTAATGCATCCCACTTCTGCGCCAACTGCAGGAGCTCTGAGCGCTTACAATGCACCTGAGCCCTTGTCATCCGTGGCCAGTCACACTCTGGAAGCCGGAGCACATCAGGCCGCAAAAACGCACTGTGAACAACAGGATCACTCAAAAAAGGCAGGGGATCAAATGAGGGACCCAACTTCCACTTAATACGTTCAGCCAAGATCTCCTTTGTGACTGTGGTGGCCAACGGAACGCGCGATGGCAAAGTCTCAGGCTGTAGGCAGCCAGAGTCCACTATGGAACCCGTATCGCCCTTCTGCTCCGAAGTACAGCTAGATCCATTTTTTGGGGTTTCACGTTTGTTGTGGGAAAACCCATAGGGGTCAATTTTGGAGGAAACAGCATCTAAAAAACTTTGAAGGTCCCTGTGCTCAAGTTCAGAAACTGCACTCAGCTCAAAGGACGTCTTGCACAAATTAGCCAGCTTTTCCGCCGCCCGACCAAGTTCGTCAACGTCGACGTCCGGGGCTCTCACAAAGTGATCGATCAAACCTTCCAGACGCTCAAGCATGACGTGTTGGCCATCAGAAATTGGGGCGCCAAGACAAGCCGCCGCAGGTGGAGAAAGGGGGCAACCCAAGCTCAACCAGTTCAGGCTCACTACCACATATTGCAGGCAGTAAGCCTTAGTCTCCAGCAGTCTCTTGCGCCGTCGTCTCTTTGGGGATAGACGCTGGGAGGCCGTCCAATACCATCTGGGAGGAGGACAAGGCCATAGATCGGTTCCAGCATTGGAACCGTCTTGGTGACGGGAAGGTTGCAAGCTCCTACGGCAAAACTCGCCAAAACCTGTATGGGAGGCTCCAGCGATCCGCAGGACAGCACGAATCATTTCACTGCATCTAATTTGAGCAGGCACCTTAGTTCCTGTTATGTTAGCGTCAGGAACATGACTGCCCGATTTGGGCTGCCGGGTGCCCGGCTTTTGGGGGGGCTCAGGATGCAACTGGAAGGAGGAAGTGGCGGTGACGCCTGTGCGCCTGCCGAGGCTCTCAAACCCCCGACCGGAAGTCGCAGAAGGGCCAAGGACCCCCCGCGCTGATGTAGAACAGGTCGGCAAGGGGCGAGGCACCGAGGCAGCAAGTGGCACTTCACTCCCGCCAGTTGCATCCGTCAGACCGCCTCGGCCGACTCGGCGGTTCCGCCGCCGCCTTCTTTTCCTTTGTTCTTCTTCTTGGGCCACGGCTTTTTGGGCACCGGTGCATCGACCTGCGCTTTTGCTGCGGGGACCGTGGCATCCTTGTCCGTATGTCGAATCTTGCTTTCCAGGAAGTCCAAATCCCGAAGATAGCCCACATTGGCTGCAACCCAAGAGGGATTGCATAGCCGGCTGAATGGTTTGAGCGAGCTGCGCGCTCGGGGCATCTGAACCTGAGAGAAGTTGGGTTCGGGCAACCCTGTCAACAGCCAGGAAAGGCTTGTCTTGCCTTCGTCCAAAGCTGTCTGCTCCACAAAGATCAGGCCTTTGGCTCCAAAACCGGCCACCTCCCTGTTTCCTGTGCGCTGGCCCGTCTCGTAAGCTGACGCCATCAGATACCCCACCTGAGTCAGCAGACGGAAGGAGCCAAGGGGGACACGCTTCTCCAGATAATCCCGGAGGAGCCCGGGCGACAGTTGGCGGCATTCAACCCCAGCTCCATGAGGGCGTTGTTCTCTACGACCTGAGCTATCGACACCAGATTGTCGCTGATCTTCAGGAAGGCCTCTCGGGCTAAGCAACCCTTGATCCCACTGGAGGAACTGCCAGGTTTTCGTTTCCACTGCTGAGAGCCGCGTGGATGGCATCCTGGGGCTGTCGGGCCGCCACTTGCTTTTGCAACAGGGTCACCTGTTGCATCTGTAGAAACAACAACTTCTGCATAGGATCGGGGAAGGCATCCACTGTCAGCTGCGCCAGCTCGTCGCCATCGGTCGCCCCCAACTCCTGCTCCTGCTGGAAAGTCTCGAATGCATCTCCCTCGTTTGGTGTGAGCCCCAAGGCGCGATCGCGCCTCTCGTGGCCACCAAGACGCGGCGGTCCCGCGCCTGCTAAACTGCGGAGGCGCTCCATGGTTTGAGCTGGTACGCCTGCAGCTTTGGGCATCGCTCCCAGCAGGCCGTGGGCAGGCTGGGAAGGTGGATGAATCGCCGGGGCGGCTCGCTGCTGCGCCAATGAAGCCAGCTGCACCTCGAGGTCTTGAATATGAGCTTGAAGCTGCTCCACCGAATGCACCTGTCCCGGATCGGCTGCCGTGGCGGCCTCTGCTTCCACTACGATGGCCTCTTCGCAAGACATGTATTCGCCAGCAGCCTCCTCGTCCATGGTCTCTGCAATCCAGGCCTCCGCAGCGAAGAGCGCTCCTTCCCTGGAGGGACGGCATGTCACCCCGTCGTGCACGAACTTCAGACGGAACAAAGCGGCCTCGCCACGCAAACTTGAAGCTCTTTTGAAAAACTGCAGGGCGGACCAAGGGCAATCTACCAAAACTGCATCCACGGTCCCTAATGCTCGGCCTCGGGCATTCTCCATCTGGACTGAAGTCTGGTGGTGGGCATAAAAGTCGAAGGGACCGGCCATCTCGAAGAAGTCCGCCACCTCCGCATCTCCCGGCACCAGAACCATAAAGCCCCCGGCCCTGTACCTGACCACATACGCCTGTGCCTTCCACAAAACTGTGCCATCGACTGCCGTGGCGGAGAAATGCAGGGCTGGAAGCAGCCCCTTCGCCCGTGCTTCCACCACACGGGCCTCGATGTCGGCCTGAGCTAGTCCTCCCGCTCCAGCGGCCATAGCGCCTGAGCTCCCAACACGTAAGCTTCTGCCTCAGCACGCGATGGGAATGCGTGCGAGACGCTCCGAGCGTGGAGCTGGCTAGCTCCCGGCAGCCGAACTGCCTGATAGTAGGCTCGGGCACTGTGACAAATGCACGGCTCAACACCAGGAGCCCCTCTCAGCACCACGTAGATCCTGTTGCTCACCCCAATGTCAGGTGAACGTTCAAACGTTCCAACACCCTCCAACTTGTTCTTGGCAGCCAACCCAGCTCGCAAGGCTCGCCCCAACCGGGCTCGCACAGTCCAAGCTCCCACCTCTGCAGAGAGATGGCGCTGCAGGTGTTCCACGCACTGCAGATCAACAGCTAAGATCTCAGCTGCAGTGGATGCCTCGAGTAGGGCCTTTTTCCACTCAGCTGACCACTGGCGGGAACCGCCAACAACACTCCAGGCACTGGAACCGGTAGGTGAGGATTCAACTCGTTCCCTGGCTGCAGCAGAACCTGCGGCAGCGGCCCGAGGGCCAGCAAGGGATATCTCAGAGGTGAATCCGTCTCCTGAGGTGCTACTCCGACGTCTCACAGAGATCTCGAGTTCACCTATCCACAACGTGAGCTCGTCCACCTGTGATTCACTCATTCAAGTCTGCCGATACTCACCCAACCTGCTTCGGAGTTGAACGGCTCGACTGCTCAGCGTTTCGGGCACTGAAGGTGCTAAAACGTTCACACCACTTTGCAACAGAAAAAGGAGAATCTTCCTGCACCCTTGGGAAAAGCACAAGGCAGCTATGACCAAACCGGTCACCAGTCCTGAAATCCAGCCTAGTAGGATCAGCAGCAAGGTGGTGCCCAATCCAAAGCCGGAGCAGTCTCCAGAGGGCCAGAAAAGACGGAACTCGCGCAGGAGTTCGGCAGCACCCCACAGGTGCATCAGCGATCTTGACCCCAAAAGCTTGCGGACAAATGACTCAAACAATGCAAGTGATACAAGACATATCTGCGTATATTTATAATCTCCACCTATATCTCAAGTTATTCATGTTTCGAAAATCATCCCTCCGAATTGCCAAGGCGCAGCTCTGTGACTGCTTCACTTTCAAGTTGCACTGGTTCGGTGTAGACCAACCACCGCTCTTCTGTCACTTCCTGTACCTTACAGTGACACAAAACACAGCTACAGGGTCTGAAGGAATTGAACAACAAGAAAGACACCTCATGGATTAAGCACGGAATTCATCCATACTGAACGCATTCCTACCAGTACAGCCTGAAACTTCCACCCCGAAGCAAGATTCTTCACAGGACAATCTGACCTCTCAAATCCTTATTTTCCAAAATTCAAACCGTGTCATAAAACAACTAGTGCTTCGATTGCAGAATTGGCTTGAACCGGAATTAGTACTTGTACTTATGATCTTATAAAGAGGACATGCGCTCAGTCGACCTGACCTTTCTTGCTTAACTTACGACTCATAACTTATAACTCATAACCCCCTGGTTGTGGCAGGTCTTTCGATTCGACGCTTTGACACGGCTGAACCAAGAGTTGGCTTGATTCCACCACGCTGCGTTGGAAGACTCCTCGGATTTCAGCTTGATTTCCTGCCAATTTGATTCAAAGGATGGTCCCACAAACAGCTCGAGCTCTCTCCTTTAGAAGCGTGGAGCTCCCCTCATTTTTAATGGGACTCTTTTCCATCATGACCATCAACATACCCAACAGGCTGAAAAGAAAACACTGAAAGCAAGTTCTCCTGGCAGGACCCGCCGACATCGCTTTCAAGCACTTCCTTTGTCATGGTTCGAGTTTTTCCGCTGCTGCTGTCAATAGCCTGTCCGGCAAGTGGGATGCAAAGCAACGTTGTCTCATTGGGAAAGGGGGACTTCGAACATTAACTGACTATCTGCTCCAAGAAAAAGCAAAAAGGATGCCTGGAACATGCAACAGCTGCTTCAAAGGTCCTGTGGGTGTGTCTGAAAACGATGTATAATTACTCCCAAATGGCAATGTGCGTAGCGACGAACCTCATGTAGAATACACAAGCAGTCCACTCTGCCTGGACACATTCTAATTTCTGAAGGAAAAGCAAAAGAGTGGGCCGCATATCTTTCAAAGCTCTGGTTGCAACATCATTTGCTCGAAGACCGCGCTTCTTCAATGGTCCTGGCTTGTAAAGGCACAGCCACCGGGAGGCGAACAAAAGTGTGAAGTAGAAACCTGGACAGCTGAAAACTAAGAGGTAAAAAATCCATCGACGTCGTCTATCACCTTCCAGCAAACCACAAAGCTTCTCCATCTTCAGCACCCAACATGCATCTCCTGCTGAACTGCTCAATGGGAGGACCAGCCGAGTCCCAGTTTGTCTTGATACTGGAGTCAAAGGAAAGGGAAGCAGCGATCCCAAGCCATTCCTGTGCATTGCTGTCTCCATGACAAATCTCAACAAACCAATGTAGGGTGATGCAGTGGCATCAAAAAACTGAAAAGATCTTAGAACTTTGTCTTGTCAGGGACAGTGACGCCACAGCAATCATGCCCCAAACAAAGGGATATTCATCCCATATCATCAAAATGCGAAAAAGAGCCAACAGTCGGGATGAAGGCTGATTCATGTTCTGTAGCGATAGCGCTATCAGTTACAGAAAGAGAATTGGTTGTGGTTGATGAAATCGGAGGAGCTGGTATCGGAGTGATTCGGGTCTTTTGCCGCAATCGGAATCTGACAACTGGAGTGCTGGAAGTGTCAATGTTACTGGATGATGCCGATGACGCATTAGAAGTCGACGTGGACGAAGAAGCGGATGCAGAAACATTGCTAGTGGCTCCGTGTAGTTGTGAAAGAAAAAGCACTGCATCATCAGGATGGGAAAGTGCAAATTCCAGTGATATCCAATTTGCCGGCAAATGCATTCCATCAGTAGTAGGGCAATCCGCCCTCTGCATGTTATGTCGGTTATCCCAAGGCCATGATTTGCAACATTTCAAACACTGAATGCGGCCTACGGCTGAAGGCCCTTTTCTATTAACTGTGCCATTCCAAGCGAGCTTATGATTATGGCAAAATTGCGCCATGTCCGTGAAAAGTCCAAGAAGGCGACGGGGATTGTCTGAAAAGCCAGGTCGATCTAGCCATTGGGTTTCAGGTAGATTTGCCTGAGTACATTTTGTTTTCGAGATTTTTAGGCGGCGGTGGCGAACTTCTGTGACATGTTTTCCACATTTTCTGCAATAAATACCATCGCCACCGGGAATGCCAACAATATAATGACCGTTCTCATGGAGACCCTCGGAAACTGACCGATTGTGTGAAGGTGTTTGGGAAGATAAACTGGTAGGGTCGATAGCTGAATCAAGCGGCTGTTCCCCTTGAAGGTACATGCGGATAGTGTCTTGCCAAATGTCAATGATGGTGGATTGTATGAGTGTCAAATGCTCAGAGAGGTCGAAATCGGCTGGAGTCAAAATAGTGGCATATTGAAAGCAGGGTTTGGATTTCTGAATTCGTTTCAATAAATGATGGATGGGTTGTCTTTTAATGATATGATGAGTACAGTTCCAAGAAATATGCTCTATTGTCTGTGGTCCGCCAAGTTCACAATCACAGTCAGTGGTTTGATTGACCCGGTGGCGTGTGACCACGTCTTGGGTCATGAGCCCTCCTGTGAGCAAAAGGCGAAGAATTGCCGCACGCATTCGTGCCTGTTCCATCTGGATGGTGGTCACTGCATCAGTAGATCGACCTTCATTTTCTAGGCATCGTAAATATTGTAAGGTCTCTGTGCGGCAAATTCCTTTCTCAATGCCCCTAAAGGATGGTCGATCTCGAGACACTTTCCTCCATTGTTCGATTCTCCAGACATCTCGTATGTGATGTAGCCACTCACCGTAGTCGGATTGGGTTCGGGTGAACATGTTTTTGACCACACCAACGAAACCTGGAAGAGCATCAACTTGTCGAAGTCGTGCAATTGGCCCATCATTTGACTTCAACGCTGATGAGTGAAAGAGAATACGAAAGGTGGCAACCCGATCGGTGGCCCACATAACTCTCCAGACTAAGGTCAGACCATCAACAACTCGACAGAAGAAAGGGTTCAAACTAGGTGAGGCCAGAAAGGAGAAGTACAAAGATGGATTGGCATGATAATAATCACGGCGGAGCAAACATCTCATTATGGCGGATCGTAATTTAGTAAGTTCGTTCTCATGAGTCTTAGTCTCTGGCAAGCGATGAGTGCCAGCGCCCCAAGTGAATTGTGAACGAGTTCTGGATAAACATCCGCAACGATCGTGCCATGAAGATGGAAGATGGCGCGCTCTTTGTGCTGTTTTCAACCAGGCATTCATACGTTGTAGCTCCAAGGTGGTGGGGGACACAGAATCATCTGACCTGGAAACAAAGGACCCGCCAACGAGCCGAAATTCATCAAGATGAGTGATTCGTCAGAAATGGAACCTTTAACAGCGGTGGAACCAAAAGTAAAACATTTCTTTGCGTTAATTTTACCACCGGTGGCATTGACAAATTTTGTGGAACAAGAGTAAACATCACGACAGGCTTTGATCAAGGCTTCAGGAGAATCTTCCATGACGGTGACAGAAACATCATCAACATAGCTGCGGGGGAAACAGGGAACTGTAGCTTCAAGCGATCGTAACCATATATTGCAAATTGCGTTCATGGACAACATTGCCAATGGGCACCCCTGCAAGATGCCTCCGTACAAAGGCTGTGATGCATCGAGGGAAGCACCAAGTTTATAACGGCGGGTGGCATTCCTTAACATGTGCATATATGGTCTAAAAACACAACCAGGCATGGACATTTTAGACAAAATCTTACCCAGAAGCTCACGAGGCACACGATCAAAAGCCTTGGACAGGTCAAAACTGAGTCCAGCAACATGGGCTGCGGAGGTAACTTCCAAATCCAAAGCAACATCAAGGAGCAGAGGTTCAGCACCCCGCGAGGTTCGTCCGCCCCACATACCTTTGTGTGCAAATAGTTCTTGCCAACGGGCGTTGAGTTGACAAGCACGAATGCGAGCCCATGTTCTGTACAAAACACTGAGAACCGTGATGGGTCTGAGATCAGTGGGAGTTTCGGGGGTCTCAGAAGATTTTGGGATGAGGGTAGTAAAGCCTGAAATTATTGAAGAAGGCCACACACCAGTTTGCTCAACGGCTAATAATATTTGACAAAGACTATCGATGACCCATGGTGCCGCATGAGAAAGTAATCCCTTCCTCCTAATACTAAACCCCCCCCCTAATACAAAACACGGCAGGTAGTTTTTAGTATTAGGGGGGTATTTATTATTAGGGAACCAAATCGAAGTCATGTTAATTAATTAATTAAATTTCCTTATATAACGCAATTAAAATATTGCCAAAAATGGCAGTTCGAAGCTTACCCCTAATACTAAATTAAAACCCTTAATACTAAAAACTATTTTTTCCGATCTCAAAATCAATTAAATTTCCTTATATAACGCAATTAAAATATTGCCAAAAATGGCAGTTCGAAGCTTACCCCTAATACTAAATTAAAACCCTTAATACTAAAAACTATTTTTTACGATCTCAAAATCAATTAAATTTCCTTATATAACGCAATTAAAATATTGCCAAAAATGGCAGTTAGAAGCTTACCCCTAATTGCTAGAGTAGCTAGGCAGCTTGGAGTGAGGGATTGGGACTAGGCCCCCCTAATACTAAACACCCCGGGGTGAACTAGTTTTTAGTATTAGGGGGGAGAACCCACAAATGGTAGGTTGATTTTTAAATTGTTTTTTAAAGGGGATCAATTAAAAGTCAAATTGGCCAAACTGAAATTTTCGGAAATTGGAGATGGATGCCTGTTTTTAGTATTAGGGGGACGTTTAGTATTAGGAGGAAGGGATTAGTTTGAGGTCAATATGACTCCATCCATCCAAACCAGGGCTACTCTCTTTCATTTTGTAAATTTCATCTCGTAACATCTGCCCAGTCAATGGGGGAAGATCGACATGAAAAGCTTGAATGTATTGCTCATATCGAGCAAAGAAGGAGTTATGGTCTGGCTCGCTGTTGCGGAAAAGGTCAGTGATGGATTGCCATGCCAATCGCACAGCACGAAATTGCTCATTAATGTTTGCAGTGGGTTTACCATCTGTCCCGGCAAAACACGTGTGCGACGCCGCAAAGGAATCTTGGCGTAACCATGCATGCTGAGCTTTAACTGAATGTTGGAGCTTATGTTTCCAGGCCTTGATACGGTCAGCTTTATCTTTAGTTTGCAAACTTAACAAAGCTCTGTCAGCGGCAATCTTTACAGAATGAGCTCTTTCACTAGAAGGTGCAAATTCGAAAAGTGGGGCAACACTTGCAGCAAATGACTCAGGCAAAAGCGATAGCGAAGCATGTGCCTGCGCCCAAGTGCGGACTGCTAACTGTCCCCAAGGACGTTTTGTAATCTCGTCCATGCGACAAATTAGTTTCCAGAGTCGTCTGGCATGAAGAGTAGCTGCACTGTCAAAATGAGAAACAGGCCACATGGCATGTGCGTCCACACGCACACTCCCACGTCCTTCTGTAAACTTGGCATTTTCATCCACATGAGTCCATAATGTTTTCAGATGAGCTTCAGCATAGTTACACCATAACTTATAGGCAGATGCAATATCACCTTTTTGCAGGAAAGCCGAAAAGTTTTTCCCCAATTGTAAAACAGGTGAGCTTAATGGGGTTGGAAACTGGAATTTTGGTGGTAAGGATGTCATAGTTCGGTTACGATGGACAGTCTGGGAAATGACTTGAAGTGAGAATGTGCATTGCAAGCTTGCATGGTCAGATATACAACTGCCAATAGAAAATGATGTAAACGCATTGAAAGCAAGTGAGTTACAAAAGATATGATCAATGGCGGAGCCTTTTCCTTTGAAACACGTAGAAGTGGTGGCAGAATTGCATAAACTAGGGAGATGAAACCAATCAAATTGGGTCATGCGCTGAAGGACCGAAGATTCATCCAGTTGTAGATTCAAATCGCCTCCACAGAGGGCGGGAAGGCCGCGAGAAATCGAATCCTGTAAGGCACTTTCAATAAGGGCATGAGTCTGGCTTTTTAAACCATGGTTCCATCGAGCGCCACTGTAACCATAGGCATTATATATTAGAATCTGTCGGGATCCATCGCCTATTTGCAGAGAAAGAACAACCAAACGTCCCTCCTGGAAATACTTATAGCATGGAGAACTTGCTGAAATTGAAATTAATTTGGCATGCCACGTGGATCCAGTTCTGACAAGGAATCCAACGCCACCTTTTTTCCCGGAGACTGGGGCTCCCCAAAATTGTTGATATCCGTCACCCCCGGCATGCACGCTGACAACAGAGATTTCGGTGCCGGGGAACTGAAAAGATCTTAGAAGCCTGCAAAAGCCAAGAAACAGCGCATCAGCATCAAAGTGGAAATGATATCGACCAGAATGAATCACCGGAGTCGCAGTCACCAGAAATACCTTGGAGAATGTTCTGCACTCCAATGCTTGCAACCAGCATTTCTGAACTTCATCCCAATCACACAGCGCATCCAAAAAGTCAAGTCTTTTGCCAATGTGAAACATTTTTTCGAATCTCGTATCTTGGCGTCAGGATACACTGGCATGAATATGACATTGTGTACGGTAACATAAAGGTGCTCGCAAAGCCACTGATTTGAAGCCAATACCCTTTGCCCCGATGAAGCGTTTCTCGCGAGCTTTTTTGGTCGACTTGTCAATGTCGCAAATGGCTACCACGTTCTTTTCCTGCGT